GAAAACCCTAGGACCCTTCAAGTATGAAAATGATGCACTCAATAAATATTCCTAGGCCAAAACTCACCCCAACTCAGTTTCAAACCCCCAAGTTTCTTGAGTGGCCAAAACGTCCGAAAGGCCAATGTTTCTCAATCAGTCTATGTTCCTCATGTCTGTCCGACGAAGCTACGGATCCCTGATGCAAGTACCATGTTACCAAAACTAGCTAAGCAGCACTATAATAATCAGCGATTCATACTCCACCATTGCGTTTCCGATGTTTTCTTAGAATATCTTTGAATTATAGAATCGACTTGATTCTCCAGCAGCGTTGAATCGGTTCAAGTAATACTGTCCAAGCCCATACAGCGGCATGACACCTTGCGATCTCGCCAAACTCAGACAGGTCCTCACTAGAGAACCCCCGGACACTGACTGAGAACCAACCTTCGCATCAGACATGGTCTTTTGCCACCATTTGCCATCATTTCCTTAAGAGCTTCTTTCTAAGACTTGGTGTTCCCGCATAGAGACATCCATCGCTTTCCAAGCACACGCTTCCATCATAAAGACCCGCAAAGAGAAACTCTGCTTGGTCCCGCTTGGTCAGAAACTGACCTACAATCAATCTCTTGGGCGAAACGTTTGAAGATTATGAATTAGGAAGATTGGTCATCCATGATGGGATACACAGAAATGTCATGCACCTCTATTATGACTATGATGGAAAATGACAAAACAAGCCGTGACTTCCTCGTCTTGCCGGAAAATTTGAGGTGCATTTGCCAGAGTCTCAGCAAATTCTAAATATGTCAGGTCCTTGGTGGGCTTTTCACTCACGGACTGCCACTGTCCATCAGGGTCACAGATGCAGACCTGCAATGCGCAATAGAAGAATCCATACAGGTGCGGGTGCCGTATGATAGTCCGATCGTTGGTCCAATGGGATTGCTGGCCCTCACTGGCAGGTTCTGTGCTCGACCTACACCTATAGATCTTTGATGATCTTTGCATGCAGAAGGTGCACAGCTCTGGCCACTACTTCTACGTCTCACTCCTTCCTCCACCACCCAGCCATCAATTCACTTAGGGCCAGGGCCGTGTTGGAAAGAGCCGAAGTGGAACCTACAGCCAGACCGATTGACCGGCATTCAACTGCTACCATAGGTTGTGTCCCCACGCTCTACTTCCAACTCTTGCAAAGAACTAGGTAAGAGTAGGTTGTTACCAACACCTTCTGACAAGCCCAGAGATTCAAGTAAATATGATTGTCCAGCTAGCCACAGGGTGCCTGCCTACAGAGCACGTATTGCAGACAAAATGAGCTCCTCATAGGGTCCTTTTGTCCAGGTAACCAGACTTCCTCTCTGGCTTGTACCTTGAAACATCCTTTAAAAAACGATTCTATCTTTCCTGACATCGACATCTGAGCATCATCTGACCGCTGAGTTCGCCCGCTGCTTTCTGCCACAGGGGCGGAAGCCTTCAGAGCCCTCAGCCACAAGTCGGAATCGGTCGTGGCTGCCTAAAGATCCTCCATGGGTGCTGGCTATTTATCCAGCCTTAGCCTGGTGAAGATTTTAGTTTCACAAGACGGTGATAGTGATTTCCGTGCAAATTGATCTTTTGATTTCAAAAATCCAGGGCAGCAGGAAGACATTGCCGCGAAGAGGCACGGATAAAAGTGGAACATTTTGAATTGAGGGCTAACGGTTGCAAAATGGGCACTTCCACGCAACTCCAAGGATAGCCATTAAACTATGCATATTCAACTGACCTTTGCTTGGAGCGACCTCAAATGATTTTCCTGGCTCCAGGTTCCTTGCGGTGTGCATCGCATGTTCCCTTGTAAATTTCTGCAATCAAAAGCAACTTTCAATCGGTCAAAGATGAGCCTTTCCAATCTGGGCTTTGCACTGGTTGGACGCCCACATGCTGTCGATTTGGCAGCCGAGCACCGTCCTGGAGGATGCTATTTTTTTGCAATGAGAGATACAGAAACAGAAAAGAAGCTGAAAAGGATACCCTCTGGTGAACTAACATAGCAATGGAAAATGGCCATTTATAGTGGATTTTCCCATGAAAAATGGTGATTTTCCATTGCTATGTTAGTTCACCAGAGGATATTGAAAAAGCTCCCAAGATACCTCCAGGACTTCGGTGACCTCTGACACTGATGACCCTGACCCTCCTGAAAGCTGTCGGCAGTTGCAACCTTTCGCGGTCAGGATTGAACCGAAACTGCAGCGTTACGAGCTCATCCAAAGCCCGTTTAATGGCAGTAGATGCAGATTCCTGCAGCGTGGTGTTGTCAATATCAAGCAAATGCTGTGGAAACAGTTTGAGGATGAACAAGATTTCCTTTGTTTGGAACCGTCTCTTTCAGTGTTGCCAGCATCACTCTAGAGTACACTCTAGACCGTGTTAGACGGTGCATGGAGCATCATTAATGATGAGGTGTCCCGTGGGTCCAATGTATGTAAATACAGTGCAAGCCCCAGGCAAACAACTTTGTGTCCAAGCTTTTCAGGTAAAGCTGTGTTAGTCTCATGTTTGAAACAGTTGGTTTGAGGCTTTGCTCAGAGGTCCACGTTCTCAGAAGCCTCTCGCCGTTGGTGTGAACGCTTGGGATCTGACGCATAGCTTCTCTCACCAGGCTTTGGTCTGACTGTGTCTTGTTTTCACTCCATCAACAAGGCCTTTCGCCTCCTTTTCTCTGCTTTTCAAACATGTTTTCAAGCCCTAGCGAAGCCTTGGTGCCGTGACGTGCAAAGCTCATTACGAGTGCAAACTTCCAATGTGTTTCTCAGAGGTCGTTTGCATCGCTGAGCAACTGGCCAAAGCTGGTCGTTAGTTGGACCGACTCGCCATTGTCACATCAGCCTGTGCTCCCGTCAGGGCTAAAGCCAAAGCCGCATGCATTTGCCTTCTAAACAAGCTCAAGGCAAGCTCAAGGGAGCCGAACTATCAAAAGCAACACCCTGAATCCATCGATCATCAACGAGACACATAAACATTGGTCCCGATTCCAGATTTTCTTTTGGATTTCGCTTGCCTTGGGCGATCAAGGCTGATTCACACAAGCTGAGAACTGCCGGAGTATGGGCAAGCTGTGGAGAGCGGAACTCAGAGCAGCTCTTCTTGACGCTCGAACAGATGCTCACCGGTATGTCGGTAGAACGTGAACAGAGTGCAAGACGCACCGGTTGAAATGTCGGTTAGCAGCCACCTCTTCATTTCGCTTACAAAGTTTTGGACAACATGCCACTGCCACTGGCACTGAAACACGCAACAAAAAAAATCCCTTGCGTACAACTTGCTAAAGTTCCAATATGACTTCAACCAACAGAGTCAACAGAGTCATGTGTGCTAGGAATTGCCAGGACATCACATTCAAATTTAGCGACTAATGCTGCCCATCAGTTAATGCAATGAAGGCTGGGCTGCCAGGCAAGGAATGGGAAGCATGAGCACCTCGCACCTTCTAAGGAGTATCATGGGGCATGATATGGCATGATGCCTGAGGATTCAATTTCTGTGAATGACTGATCTTTTGGCAAAGTTTTACAACAATACCCTTGAATGTCCACAAGGCATCTCAGACTTTGTTCGCACTCATTGGCGGACGTGATAAGACACCTTATGTATCGCATGTCTCCCCAAACCGCGGATTGCGCAAACTGCGGCAGCACAAAGATCCAGCTGTCTCTTCGAACACTAAAACTGTTCCGTGGGATTCAGAGTAACATCACCAAACTGCCGACGGTTGGCTGCAAAGAAGAGATATAATTGCTATGGCGAAAGGTTCAAGATAAACAGCTGGAACAGCTGGATCTGTGCAATGATCAGACCATTTCACAAAAAGTCCACAAAGTCACTGTGTCTTGTTGCACGCCAGATTTTGGTGGGTGGCTCGCTCATCGGCGGAACACTGCAGGCCCACATGGCCGCAGACGGCTTTTTTGACAGAAATTGAGCACCGAGAGCAAGTTCCCATCTGAAACACAAAGTTTAGCTGTGTGCAACATTTTGACACAGAACTCTGCATGGCATTCTGGGCCCCAAAAGGATCTTGATCATGAACTCTTGGATACCGCAGCGCAGCTGGAACCTAGGCCAATTCAGGCCGATGGCCACACCGTAGCGAAGCTGAGCGTTGGCTGATGTCATTCTGAGGACATGTGACGGATCAGTTCAGGCTGAACAAGGGGCCCTTCCAGCAGATCCCAGACGTCGCAAGCACGCGACAAACAGAAAGGGGGGGCCATGACTTCACAATTCTTCCAAAAAAGCCGGAATCTGCTGGTTGAATTTGCTCACATGTTCTAACTGTTCCAACTACGTCTTTAATCCTGAAAGGTGTCCGACTGTCCAAAAAGCTGTCACGCAGTTCCCGAACCAATCCAGATTTCACATGATTTCACCATGTCACTCCTGAAACTGTGCTCAGCTAACAGTGGGTTTCCCAAAGTGTTCGCGAAGGCGGTCGGGTCAAAGGCTTTTATGGCACTGCCCGAACAAACCGGAAGAAACGGGTGTGCTAACTGCATGCTTGCAGAAATGGATTCAAGAATCACCTAGATGTGAAGGATCATCCCTAGTTTTCCTTAAAGGGGAAGATAGGCCAACCATAAATCTAAGGAGACAAAATACATCGGACCTGTACTTGCCAGCCAAGTAGAGTAATTGCGTTGTTGTCAAGAATCTGATAAACTGGTATCCCTTAGATTTTTGAACTGGCAGGACAGATCTATGTACGAACCAGACCCCAAATGCAAGTAGAGCGTACCTTCAAGTTCTCAATGAAATCGTCTGTACACGAGAATCAAACTCTGAAGACTTGCCTACGGATGCATGTGTGAGATTTCCAGCACAGTAGTTCTTGCCTCCTTTGGCTAGTTGCATAATGTTGCATAATGTTGCATACTTGGTAATTTGATGAAATTTGGTGTAGCATGGTGTAGCATGGTGTAGCATGTTGGGATTGAGAAGGAGCTGTCCGCAAGCAGCAGTTCTGTGAAACCGCGCTTCATTTTGCCATCTCCACATCTCCACTATGTACTGTTTCCCAAAACCTCTTTCGCTATCTTTCACTCAACAAGGATGCTCACGGGTCACAGAATGTCAGAGACTTTCTGGAACAGTTTTTGCTGTGATCACAAAACACCACACAAAGCGGAGACATGCGCAAAATAGCTGAGACGGTTCGGTGGCGGATTCCGACGCGCTGCCAGCGCAATGACAACGATCTTATGCACCCATCCTGAAGGTCAGAATGTGCAAAAGGCAGGGTTGGTCGGTTGGTCCTCAACATGGACTAAAAGCTTAGCTGACACATCTGTTTTTTTAAAGAGAAGTTGGCCTGGGGTGCAAAACATCTGTTTTTTTTCCGAGGAAGCATATGGCCCGAGAGGCAGTCTTTTATCTCTTTTTGATTTGGTGGATCTGTTGGCCCTGAGTGTTCAAATACTAGAGGTCTGGCGTAAATAAGGATAACTTGCAGGGAAGGGACCACTAACCTACTGCCATGTGTGTTTGCGTGAATTGATGCCTGCCTATTCTGTGTTTGTTTATGTAGGTGACTGTGTCAAAGAGAGGATCCAGCAAGCCAACGACCAAATCTGAGTGAAAAAGTTTGAACGATATGATGGAAACGTCTGAAAAAGGCTTGCGGATCTCCAAATGACCAATCCCAGATCATAGGTCCATGACTTGTATTTTTCTTTGACTGACTTGATTTCAATTGACAGCTGCTATCTTTTCCTCAACCTCCAGAATGTCTTCTGGGTCTTCAACAAACCACCATTTGCCGCCTTCAAATTTGCTGGCAAACCCATGTGAACGTGTCAACCAAATGGCAGCTGCCGCCATTTGCTCCAAGTTGCTGCTTCGGCGCGAAGCAGGCGTTGTCTTGCAGCATCGTCTTGGCCTGGCTGGTGTCAAGCCCTCCCTGAGCCCCTTTTCAGATAAGGCCCCTTCCCTAGGAAGTTCCGTAGCATTCAATTTTAGTTCTTTGGCTATGGGTCAAAACCCTGATAACTAGTGAACCCCAAAATAGCTGGTAAATTGATGTTCATCTCGCTATAGGTTTTGACCCACCCCCTTTTTGCTTCTTACACGACCCACCGCTGCCCACTGAAGCGTTCTCTCACGGGAGCTTTACTCACAAGACTTGTGACAAGGAAATGCTGAAGCGAGTTGGAGGAGATGCCTATGCGTCCTAGTGCAAGCAACAACCTTTCAGACACAAAAATGCCATAATTCTCAGTTCAAAAATACTGTGACAACAGCTCTGACAAGTTTGAAGCGAATCCTCGCAGGCTGGACCAACAAGAATTGGAGGGCTTCTTGATTTTGTCCCTGCGCAAAAGCCGACCTGAGTGCAACCAAGAGAAATTGTTCCAGATAGAAATCCTATCAAATCCATTCAAATCCTTAAAAAGCCACGGAGGGCTGCAGATGCCCAACCATCTTGTAATCTGCTCGCAAGGGGATGTATAGAAAGCTGTGGCTGGTGAGAGTCTTGTTTGAAGTTCGGGACGCGCGGACAACTACCGAATGAAAATTACTCAATAAAGGGAAGCCTTCAGCAAGTGCACCCACGATATTACAGCAAGCACAAAGTGTCTTGGTTGGGAACGGTTGACACGCATGCAACAAATTACGAAATCGGGCAACAATCGGAGAACAATATATATATATATATAGGTACCAAGAAAAACCTGACCACAACCTAACACCTCTTGTGTGAAATGGAATAAATTGAAGGTCCACCACGTCCAGAATGTTCAATGGTCATCGTGGAAACTACAAGTACGTAGAGTTGATTAGGCTACATATCCCGCCCAATCATCAGTAGCTTCATTACAAGAGGAGCGCAGAGACAGAAGGAAGGAAATTAAGTAGAACAGTAGGGCAGGCAATCACAAACCAGTTTTTCAGTCAAGAACCTGGGACAGCAAAATGAAGCGTTTCTCAACAACCGCCGCTATTGGACTGTTGTGACTGTTGGCCAATCCACCCAAGAGAAGTTGCGAATACATTGAGCCCTCCACTTCAAGTAGGCGGGTGGCGAGGCGGCAATCTTTGTGGAAGCCTGGCAGAACTGCCATCACTGGCATGACTCTGCAGCTATGGGCCTGAAGTTGTCGTTCAACCTACCACCTCAATCCGCCTCACCACCTTCCATCATCTCCCACAATCTCCCATCCTGAACTTCGATGATACTCTCGCCGCACCTCCGCGTCTGTCAGACGGGTCAGAAGAGCTGTGATCTCATTGACTTGAGATCCAAGGAGAGTCGACAGTGGAGCTTGTGCCATGTCTTCACCTCCACAGGAGGACGGGGGGAGACAGGAAGGTGAAACCCACTTGGATATCTTGGATGCAGATTGCTTGCTGATGCTCGCTGATGCTTGCTGATGCTTGTCGTGGCCCAAACGCATATTGTTTATCAGCTTGGACTGTGCAGCACAGGCTCTTCCAATCCATGCCACTTCCATTCCACGCCTGCAACAGTCGTTCCCATGTAGCTCTCCAGTCCAGGCGGCATTGAATCTCAGCCAGAGGGAAGTCTGCCACTTGGAGCGCTTGGAACACTTGGTGTGCACTCCCTCTTTGAAATATCCTAGGCACCTCCTGACCATCTCCCCATTAAATCCGCTATCTGGGGCTCCCACTTTGCAAGCCGACTGCGTGTGGGACCTGCGAAGCGTGCGCTGTGCAGCAAGAATTTATATACTGAACTGCCGTTCCATGTCTCAGGCAGTGTGAGTCACGTACAGAGTTGCACCAAAATATCAACTGTTCTCGCCTACTGACAATAGCAATATGTTTGGTCATTGCTGGAGATTCCTTCGGATCATGGATTAATTTTATCCCGCTCCATGCGACACTGAGACAACCCGATGACATGTTCACTAGCTGATGCAAATGTACATCACTGTATTAAAAATGAATATTGTTCCCCTGCATAGCCACCTGTTGGCTAAGTATTACAAGGTCAAAGCCTCCCCTGGTCTTGAAAATGTTAAAAGTATTCATAAACACAACCTCTCGCCCTGCTAGTGCCATTGACAAAGCGTCTTTTTGTCGACCCAATTCCTTGTGGTCACAGGCCACCAGTCTCTCCTCAAGAGCCAGGCAAAACCTTCCTGTGCCACTTGTGCTGGGGATGTGAGGGTGGGGGGGGTCCACCTACTTTCATCATGCACCAATTGTTTGGCTTCACATATCATGGAATTGTAATCAGCAATGTTTTGTTCTGCTCAGTTTAGTATTGACCTGCAAAAACCTGCGTGCAGAGCTCCTTCGGCCAGTCTTTGGCTCAGAACACCTGCAGAGGTGAAACCTGCCTGTACACGTGAGAGAAGACACGAAAACGACTGTGCGAAGGGCAAAGGGTCAAACCTAGCCATTTGCCCGTGTCCTATCCGATCCTGGGCTTGGCATCTTGTGGCAGCAAAAGCACGTGAAGGATTCTGAAGGATTTTGCATATCACCGAATCAGTCAACTGTTTTGAGCATCTTAAAGCAGCCACACCACCACAGAAAACCCCAGTGACTGCAACTAGCATGCAAAAGCATGATGCCTCTCTTTGAGAGCATCTTCAAAATCAGGTGTTTGACACCATGTGGCAATTGCAATTCCTTCAGGCCAATGCTTTCATCAGCACGTGCTTGGGCAACACTCCCTGGCAGGCTGAGGCATTGTTTGGAAAGCAGTCAAGTTCAGAGAGTCAGGGGTGATGATGAAGCCAAACGCAAGCAGAAAGCAAGTGAAAACTGATCTAAAGCCAAGGTCAAATGCCACTGGGCAATCAGCTTTCTTGAAACTCCTGGAGTTTCCTGAAATGCGTTTCGAATCTTTGTCGATTTGATTTTCGATTCATTCTAGCGTGGCTCCAGGTGCCTCCAATCGGCTCACCACAGCAAAGCGACCACGCTCTCGCTGCAAGCGCTGCTCTGACTGGTTCTGCTCATGCCTGCAAGCCCCGGTGAATCAACAGTTCATTATTTGTTGGAAGAGTTTCAGCATTCTTTCTCTGGGTTCTATCTGTGTGGGCTACTCTTAGGTGTGTTTCTCTTGACCTCTTCTGCACTGCTTGCAGGGACAATAGAGATCACTATACAGATTTGTGTGACTGGCTACGTGTGGACCTAACATGCAGACAACAACAAAGGGACATCAATTCTTACTTGTTTCAGTGACCTAGTGACCTCTATGCTGAGTGCATTGCTCGAAATCAACACATCATATGTTGAAACCTTAACAAAAATACCAAACCTTGCATTGGTAGCCGCTAAGCCAGAGTCGCCTCAAACGCATCTGCAAGTCTTGGCAGCACTCCTGGCCAAAGGAGACCTGTCGGAGGCTGCATATTGACTAGGCTCATGAACGAAATGAAGGGATCAAGTAGATGATCGTTGGTGAATCGCTATCTTTAGGGCAGCTCTGACAACAAAATTTAAGACGCAAGAAAAACATGTAAAAAACATGTGAAAATTCCATGTAAAAGCAACGTTTTTTTCATGCCATAGGCTGCCATAGGATGCCATAGGCTGCCATAGGCTGCCATAGGACCAGGACCAGACCTGCTCGGAGCGCTGTGCCAAATCCCGATGCAGACGTGCGAGTTCCGCTCTGCTCTGCTCCAGTTGGGAGTGCAGCTGACGCCTCGAAAATGCTTGCAGTGCGCAATGAAAATGTCTCCAAGCAGTCCAAGCCGTTGAAAGAGAATGCAAAGTAATGCAGTAAAGTAATGCAGTATCAAAAGTTTTCCAGAGGAAGGACGATTGAAATTCACGGTCGAAACTAGAAAGGGAGGAGGGACGCGATCTCGTCGTTGGACACTCAAGATTGGAGGTTTCTGCGAGTCAGAGCAAATTACTTTACTTCGTGTGATCCCCACCATGACATTTATAGATTTTCTTACTGGCAAACCTTCTGGCATTCTATTTGACATATCTTCTGGCATATTATCTGGCAAATCTTCTGGCATTCTATCTGGCATATTTTCTGGCATTCTATCTGACATTTTATCTGGCATTCTATCTGGCAAATCTTCTGGCATTCTATCTGGCAAATCTTCTGGCATTCTATCTGACATATCTTCTGGCATATGTTCTGGCACATCTTCTGGCACATCTTTTGGCATTCTAGCTGGCATTCTATCTGGCATTCTATCTCGCATATCTTCTGGCATATGTTCTGACATATATTCTGACATATCTTCTGGCATTCTATCTCGCATATCTTCTGGCATATGTTCTGGCATATCTTCTGGCATATCTTCTGGCATTCTATCTGGCATTCTATCTGGCATTCTATCTGGCATTCTATCTGGCATATCTTCTGGCAAATGTTCTGGCACATCTTCTGGCACATCTTTTGGCATTCTATCTGGCATATTATCTGGCAAATGTTCTGGCACATCTTCTGGCACATCTTTTGGCATTCTAGCTGGCATTCTATCTGGCATTCTATCTCGCATATCTTCTGGCTTATGTTCTGACATATGTTCTGGCACATCTTCTGGCACATCTTTTGGCAATCTAGCTGGCATTCCAGCTGGCATTCTATCTGGCATATCTTCTGGCATATCTTCTGACATATATTCTGACATATCTTCTGGCATTCTATCTCGCATATCTTCTGGCATATGTTCTGGCATATCTTCTGGCATATCTTCTGGCATATCTTCTGGCATTCTATCTGGCATATCTTCTGGCAGATGTTCTGGCACATCTTCTGGCACATCTTTTGGCATTCTAGCTGGCATTCTATCTGGCATATCTTCTGGCATATTATCTGGCAAATCTTCTGGCATTCTATCTGGCATATCTTCTGGCATTCTATCTGACATTTTATCTGGCATTCTACCTGGCATACCTTCTGGCATTCTATCTGGCATATCTTCTGGCATTCTATCTGGTATATCTTCTGGCATTCTATCTGGCATATCTTATGGCATTTTATCTGGCATATCTTCTGGCATTCTATCTGACATTCTATCTGGCATATCTTCTGGCATTCTATCTGGCCGTTGAGGTCCAGCGGTGCACACTGAGCTGGGCAGGTCCCAGGTTGAGGTCCCGGTTGAGGTCCAGCGGTGCACACTGAGCTGGGAGGTCCCAGGTTGAGGTCCAGCGGTGCACACTGAGCTGGGAAGGTCCCAGGTTGAGGTCCAGCGGTGCACACTGAGCTGGGAAGGTCCCAGGTTGAGGTCCCAGTGCACACTGAGCTGGGAAGTTGGCAAAGAGCTTGGCGAAGAGAGTTGGCAAAGAGCTTGGCGAAGAGTTGGCAAGGCGGAAGTGGAGGTGGAAGTTGATGCAGACATGGTCGAGGAGAAACTGGAAAAGGAGGCGAGGAGGAGGACGAGGAGGAGGAGGAGGACAGCTAGCCGAGGAGGAGGAGGAGGAGGACGAGGAGGAGGAGAACAACTCTGATAAAATCTAACAACCCTCACCTGGCAGGTGGGGAATAAATAGTTATTGGAATGTTATTGGCTTATACATATTTATACTCAGATCCACTACGAAGGCTTCTTGGTCGGTGGCCATCAGTTGATCTGTCGGTGTCTAAAGGGTGCTTCAGCATTTGTTCGGCACCTGTGAAGAGTTCAAACTTACCTCTCCTGAATGCCCGGAACTTCCAGGGCGGCCTTAACGTAAAAGTTACACTGCAAGTCCTGAGGCTTGAACTGTTTGAGCTGCACTTCTTGTGCAGTCTTCTCAGCCGCTTGACGCCTAAGCTGATTCAGGCGTGAATGGTTCTATCAAGTTCTATCTTTGGCCTGAAATATCAAGGAAACCCACCTGCACAAAAGGAGGTTGGCTAGGTGGCAACGGGTTCTGGTCAAAATGCTCAAAGAGATAGCCAAGCCATGAGATAGTATCTGCTAGAAATAATTGCCAAAGATTCCCTACTCAAAGTTCATGCAAAACCATGCAAATTCAAACACGATTGCCAGAAACACCTCTGGCATCTGAACAACCAGTTCCATGGGACCAGGGCCCACGCATCACTGTTTCCCTTGCAAAACGGGAGCGAACTAAATTCAGCTCCATCTCCAGCGCGGCCACACGTGAGCCTCTCAAAGATAGGAAAATGGACTTTGCCGAATAATCGATGATCCTTTGCACATTGCTTCTGTCATATGATCATAATATGAGTAATATGGATGTTTCAAAATATGTTGAAGGAAGACACTTTTGACCCTGAACACTGATGACATTGATCGTGCGCCTTCACCAGCATCGCCCATTGCCTGCACATGAAGATCGTTGAGATCACCAACTCAAAATGCAAAGCATCTTCGAGCTGAACATGAAATGGCTGAAATGATGCTGAAATGATGCTGAAATGATGTTGAAATGTATTGAAATTTGGTTCGGCCACGCAAAGCCATCGATTCTGTCGACCTAGCGATTTCGAGATTTCGAATGCGAGCAACTCATCCGTATGGAGACACAACCTGAAGAGTCTTTCATTCGTATCTTGTGCATCAAAGAACCCCTCAAACTCTCACCATCTCCTGGGACGACGAAACACAGCGTCTGTTTTACCCTTTCAACCTGGCATTCTTCTCACAGTTCCAACATGTTCCAACATGTTCTAACTTGTTCCAACTCACATAACACCATGCAGTTTTGGTTGTGCCGGCGCCTGAGGCGCCTTGAAGGCAACACTCGGCATACTGGGCATGCTGGGCATATTTGGCATCTCGTGAGCCAGAGCCTTGGCCGTGAAAAAACTACGACGTTCCAGTGGCACCATTTATGAAAATGTGAATCTTGCTGGACAAAGAAACTTCACTAACAAAATGTTCATGAATACTCGACATGAATCAGCCTAAAACTGGAGAAAAATGACGAAGTTTAAGGTTGGAAAATTCTGCTAGTTTCTTGCTTTCTGGGAAAATCTCTGGCATTCCGGGTGGTTGGCAGTAGAGACAAACCGAGATGTGTACGTTGATACGCGCTTCAAGGTTGGTCACTTGGACTCGGGCCTGACAAATGCAGCAAAGGAAGGGATTGAAGCTATGTTGCTCCAGTTGGGAGGCCATGCTAGTTTCAAACGAGTTTGTAGTTGTCCAGAGACCGAAGTCAGCATGTTGTTATTCTGTCGAGGCGGCCCAAAATAGGTTGTCTCGACATTTTTTGCGGTTTTGGAAATTGCTCGGCTCCTTCAACGTGTTCTGCGAGTTTTCTATAAACATGTTTTTTTCGCTTGCCTTGGCCTGAACTTCTGCCTTCTGAGTCCATGATGGCCCATTCCCAGGGTTATTGGACACATTTCAAGCCATTTTGCCATTTGGGGATTTGTTGTTGGGCCTATTCTGCTCATGGGCCTTTGTTACTTTCAGTTTTGACCCATTTGAGGGTCCTTGTGGAGCATCGACAAGGACACTACAATCGAATTCTGAACCCCTGCTAGATTGAACACCTCAGCACCTTTGGTGTGACAAAAGCAAGTACATCGACGATGCCCTTCACCTATTCAGCCAGCCTGTAGAACTGCATAGAATTGACATTTCCGTTTTTTTGGTTCTACACAAGCTATAAGAATCTTTGAGAGGTTTCTTGCCGCTCGCCTCGTCCCGCTCCCCTTCACGTTGCGCACGCTCACTGTCACATTGATGCAAACGCCTCAAGTGTGGCACTTCTTGTTTGAAACATCCGCAGCTGGAGAGCTGAGTTGTTTCTCACAAGTGCTGGGCGACTGCACCAGATGGACAAGAGATACTCAGTAAGGGAAAGAAATAAATGATTCTTCAAATTGACTCTGGTCTGGGAGAAACAGGCTTCGGAGATCCGCATGAGCCAGTCTGGAATCTTGTTCGCGATGACTGTTTCTTACACGTATCTCTTCCAAGCGTTGGCAGAAGTTCAATGCTCATTTATCCCTTTTTTCTGAGAGGCTGTGTCTAAGGGCCGATGTTCACAGGCCGAGAGGCATGAGTTCTTTCTGGTCAAGTACAAGAGTCTTTAAGGTCTCATGTTGAATCAAATCATGGCTTCACATGGCTCAGCATCTGACTCCATGAGTTCTTCACGATCCTTTTGTGCCTGCTCTCGACACCTCGTTCAAGAATCACTATCCATCAGCTCAAGCAATATGCGCAATAGTGCTGAAATTCTTTGCATCTAAGACAAGAACAACTCCCCTTGTCTACGGGTCACTTGGGTCACTTGCAAACTGCAACAAACACATCGTTGTAGACTGGGTTTACGCTGTGGAATTCCGCATCTGAGTGCTCAGCTCTTCTAGTTCTTTTTGTAGTTGTGCCTCTGTCACTTGCAGGTCCAACAGCATGTAGAAACGCAAGGTATTGATAAAAACATCCCAGTTTGTCGAAATCGTAAATGTGTTAAGTCGTCTCGGTGACCAAATGTGAACCAAACGTATTCCATTTGCAGATTTTTTATGCAAAACTCAACACCAATGGATTGCGAGGTGCACGAGCCAATGGCTGCACACTTTGCACTGCAAAGCGCCTCACGCTCAGCACAGCTCTGGCGGACTTTGGCCGCCTCTGCCTGCCTAGTTTGTTCGACCTCGGGAACAACACAACAATGAAATATTCTTTAAACAATGTGTGTAAGTAAATATATATATATATATGTATGTATCTCTCTCTCTCTCTCATCTATACATATATATTTTTTTATATACTGGACGACGGATGGCCCGAGAGCGTAGAGAAGCATAGTGAGAGGTGCAAGTATGAAGATTTCATAGCATGAAACATAAATATAGAAATATACGATGATGCCTAAAATGAAGAGACATAGTGCAGACATGTTGTGAAAAGTAAGTACATGAGAAGAAATTGAAGCAGAACTAAAAAAAACATGAAATGAAGGAGACGCAGGAAGAAGAATTGAGACGGACATTTTTACATACAAGCATGTTCATACATACAAACATGCCTTACACAGAGAATGTTTTTACACACAAACCTTTTTACACACAAACCCCTTCTTTCACGCACAAACACGCTTACACTCAAATGTTTTTACACACATATTCTTTACCACACCAACATTTTACACAATCGTTTTTACGCACAAACACTTTTACACACAAACATGTTTATACACAGACGTTTTTACACAATCGTTTTTACACACAGACTCTTTTACACACAAGCACTTTACACACAAACACGTTTACACGCAAACACTTTTACGCACAGAGTTTTTACCACAACAACACTTTTACACACAATCGTTTTTACGTTTTACACACAGACGCTTTTACACAAACGTGTTTACACTGTGTTTTTACACACAAATTCTTTTACATACACGTTACAAACACGTTAACACACAAATTTTTTTTACACACATTTTTTTACACACAAACACTTTTACACAGAACCCTTTTACACACAAACACTTTTGCACGCAGACCCTTTACCGCACACTTTTACACGCAATCGTTTTTACACAATCATGTTTACGCACAAGCGTTTTTACACGCAAACACTTTTACACACAGACCCTTTTACACACAAACCCCCTTCACACAAACACGTTTACACAAACCCTTTTACACAAAAACGTTTCTACACACAAACACTTTTACACACAAGGCGAAAGCGTTACCGCCGGAGCAACCAAACTCTCAAAAAACCTTCAGGTCTTGACACTCGAACCTCATTTCGTGCGAAAAGGTTGCCCCCGAGGATCTTCAGAGACGAGTGTGTTACCACTTTATAAACGTTAATTTCTCAACCATTTTTTGAAATGTTGTAACCATTTTATTTAAAAAAATATTGCTTACCATTTTAAAAAAATATTGCTGACCATTTTAAAAATATGAATTTATAATAGTTTCTATTTTAAGTTTTCTTGGCGTGAATCTACATTTATTTGTTTTGAAGGCCCCAAAGTAATGGAATGGCATGTGAAGAGTAACTGAGATGCCAGCATACTTTGGACAATAGAACTTTTCTGCGGCATAATCGCGCCGGGCAGGTTCCAAGGGCTACATTTCTGAGCGCGCAAGTTCGAGAGTCAGGGATATTCTTTTGATGTAGTTCCTGAGCAGCCATAACATGTAACAAGGATACACACTTGCCGAGTACCCTCCAGTGCTATCAAATATAACAAAATTAGTAGGTACGACAAAATGATGTTTGTTGAACGTCAATTGAACAGGAATAATTGGGGGAAGTGGCTGGCAAGTGTTGGGGGATGGTGCAGTGTTGCTGCAAGCATGTTTCGGGAAATTGCTCCTGTGCTTTCGGGAAATTGTCGGGAAATGGCTGGCAAGTGTTGGGGGGGATGGTGCGGCGTTGCTGCCAGCAATGTTTCGGGAAATTGGCGGGAAATTGCTCACAGCTTTCGGGAAATGGCGTGCAAGCTTTCGGGAAATTGTCGGGAAACTATTGGGGAGATGCAGTGTTTCTGTAAGCAGTGTTTCGGGAAATTGCTCCTGTGCTTTCGGGAAATTGTCGGGAAATGGCTGGCAAGTGTTGGGGGATGGTGCAGTGTTGCTGCCAGCAGTGTTTCGGGAAATTGCTCCTGTGCTTTCGGGAAATTGTGGGGAAATGGTTTGCAAGTGTTGGGGGGGATGGTGCGGTGTTGCTGCCAGCAATGTTTCGGGAAATTGCTCCTGTGCTTTCGGGAAATTGTGGGGAAATGGTTGGCAAGTGTTGGGGGGGATGGTGCGGTGTTGCTGCCAGCAATGTTTCTGGAAATTGGCGGGAAATTGCTCACAGCTTTCGGGAAATGGCGTGCAAGCTTTCGGGAAAGGGTCGGGAAACTATTGGGGAGATGCAGTGTTTCTGTAAGCAGTGTTTCGGGAAATTGCTCCTGTGCTTTCGGGAAATTGTCGGGAAATGGCTGGCAAGTGTTGGGGGATGGTGCAGTGTTGCTGCCAGCAGTGTTTCGGGAAATTGCTCCTGTGCTTTCGGGAAATTGTGGGGAAATGGTTGGCAAGTGTTGGGGGGGATGGTGCGGTGTTGCTGCCAGCAATGTTTCGGGAAATTGGCGGGAAATTGCTCACAGCTTTCGGGAAATGGCGTGCAAGCTTTCGGGAAATTGTCGGGAAACTATTGGGGAGATGCAGTTTCTGTAAGCAGTGTTTCGGGAAATTACTCCTGTGCTTTCGGGAAATTGTCGGGAAATGGCTGGCAAGTGTTGGAGAGGATGGTGCGGTGTTGCTGCCAGCAGTGTTTCGGGAAATTACTCCTGTGCTTTCGGGAAATTGTCGGGAAATGGCTGGCAAGTGTTGGAGAGGATGGTGCGGTGTTGCTGCCAGCAATGTTTCGGGAAATTGGCGGGAAATTGCTCACAGCTTTCGGGAAATGGCGTGCAAGTTTTCGGGAAATTGTCGGGAAACTATTGGGGGATGGTGCAGTGTTTCTGTAAGCAGTGTTTCGGGAAATTGCTCCTGTGCTTTCGGGAAATTGTCGGGAAATGGCTGGCAAGTGTTGGGGGATGGTGCAGTGTTGCTGCAAGCAGTGTTTCGGGAAAGTGCTCCTGTGCTTTCTGGAAATTGTCGGGAAATGGCTGGCAAGTGTTGGGGGGGATGGTGCGGTGTTGCTGCCAGCAATGTTTCGGGAAATTGGTGGGAAGTCTCACACATTGCGTTTGTCAGCAAGCAACTTCCAGGGCACGGTTTGCGCCTTCGAACCTGCAACCAGCGGAGCATCTTCCGGAGCCGGTCCAGCTTCCTGCCAAACAAAATGGAAATGGCCTGATTGCATGTTGAAATTCCCCGTGTCCAAAAAAAGACGACGGCAGAAACTGTCATCTTGAAAGCTATGCAGCTGTACTTGCACAGCCTTTGTCTTATGCTTCGATCAACAGCACTGGTTCTGCATTTTCTCACCGAACAGTGTCAAGTGCTCTACATGTGCCTCAATAGATGCATCCGGCAAATCTTTATCCGAAGGCCGTGGAGATTCCTTCAGAACAAAGAGACATATAATATTCACTTGACAGAGTTACACCAACATCAACCCGAAACTGCATAAGTAAAGGCAAAATCACCTTTGCACTCAGTTTGCGATCGACCCAGAGCTGAAGGTGAAAGACCGAAGCGGTAGGCCAAGCCAGATCCATGTCGTGACATGATCTCAAAGAGCAATGGGAAACACAGACCCAGTCAGCAAGGGACACATAGCGGGAGAGAGGAGTGGGAGACATAGCGGGAGACAAAGGGGGAGACAAAGGAAGATCCATGTCGAGACAAGATCTCGCAGAGGAGGGGGAGACCTACTAAGAAGACAAAGTGGTTGTCGAAGCCAAATGCATGGCGTGACAAGATCTCCAATAGGAGCGGGAGACATTGTGGAAGACAAAGACCCTGGGTAAATGTAATACTGAAAGGGAACCAAAGAAGGATCCATGCCGTGACAAGATCTCACAAAGGAGAGGGCGACATAGTGTGAGACAAAACGGTATTCAAATGGGAGGAAACCAGAATAAATAAGATGTGTGCATCCTCAACTTGGACTACGAGCATCTGCTAGAGCCTGTCGCACAAGTCATTGAAATGAAACCTGACTGGGCCGAATGCATTTTCAAACCCTCCTGGAAAGAATGGCGTGTCCAAACGATGTCGCTTTAGATCAACACTGATAACACAAAGTTTTGTTTCTACATTGTTTTAATTTAACTGCTCTGTTTCAGCAAGCAGCTTCCAGGACACGGTTTGCGCCTTCGAACCTGCAACCAGCGGAGCATCTTCTGGAGCCGGTCCAGCTTCCTGCCAAACAAAATGGTAATGGCCTGATTGCATGTTGAAATTCCCCGTGTCCAAAAAAGGACGACGGCAGAAACTGTCATCTTGAAAGCTATGCAGCTGTACTTGCACAAATGTAAAGGCAAAATCACCTTTGCACTCAGTTTGCGATCTACCTACAGCTGAATATGAAAGACCAAAGCGGTAGGCAAAGCCAGATCCATGTCGTGAGAAGATCTCAAAGAGCAATGGGAAACACAGTCCCAGTCAACAAGGGACACATAGCGGGAGAGAGGAGTGGGAGACATAGCGGGAGACAAAGGGGGAGACAAAGGCAGATCCATCTCGAGACAAGATCTCGCAGAGGAGGGGGGGGACCTACTAAGAAGACAAAGTGGTTGTCGAAGCCAAATGCATGGCGTGACAAGATCTCCAATAGGAGCGGGAGACATTGTGGAAGACAAAGACCCTGGGTAAATGTAATACTGAAAGGGAACCAAAGAAGGATCCATGCCGTGACAAGATCTCACAAAGGAGAGGGCGACATAGTGTGAGACAAAACGGTATTAATGTGTCAACAAGAAATGAATTAGTCATGATGTAGCCAATAATTAGCCTAATTTGTCCAATTGGTCCAAGTAACTGGTCCACTGAATTGGTCCAAGAATTGCCAGTTGCCATCCCAAAACATGGGCCGTTTCCAAACGCCTCCGGATTTTCCGACTTCGAGGTTCACACAGACGCTCCAGGTGTTTTCGGACCGCTGTGGAAGTGAACCAAATGACTACATAAATGGCTTTAGCAATTGAGGATTCTAACCAAGATAGAGGAATAATATGTATGTGTCAACAGTATAACATGTATTATTATAAAATATATTACTGTATATTCAAAAAGCTGTTGAGATTTACATATATAACGTGGTACTACAACTAAGATATATAACGTAGTAATATAAACATAAGAAATGGTATACTATGTCTAAACGTGGTTACACCACCACCTGGCCAAGGATGTAAAATCGCAAAAAACCTTCAGGTTTTGACACTCGAACCTCGTTTCGTGCAGAAGGGTTGCCGCCGAAGATGTGAAATCACAAAACCCTCAGGTTTTGACACTCGAACCTCGTTTCGTGCGAAAGAGTTACCGCCGAAGATGTGAAATCACAAAACCCTCAGGTTTTGACACTCGAACCTCGTTTCGTGCGAAAGAGTTACTGCCGAAGATGTAAAATCGGAAAAAAAAATCAGCCTTTGACGAAGGTTGCCGCCGGACCAACCAAATTCGCAAAAAACCCTCAGGTTTTGACACGCGAACCTCGTTTCGTGCGAAAGGGTTGCCGCCAAAGTTGTAAAATCACAAAAAACCATCAGTTTTTGACACTCGAACCTCATTTCGTGCGAAAAGGTGACCATATCGCGGCGCCTCGTCGGCACTGCCTGCAGCCTTAAGAGAGAAAAGAAAAAGAAGGAGAGAGACCGTGACAGAGGGCAAGAGAGAGAGGGAGAGAGAGAGAGAGAAAAAAAAAGAGAGAGAGAGAGAGAGAAAAAAAAAGAGAGAGAGAGAGAAGATGTGAAGATGCGAAGATGAGAAGATGTGAAGATGAGATGATTTGACGATGTGAGTATGTGAAGGCAATAAGATGTGAAGATGTGAAGATGTGAAGGTGAAGAGCGAGAGAAAAAGAGAGAGAGAGAGAAGATGTGTGAAGATGTGAAGATGAGAAGATGTGTAAGATGAGAAGATGTGAAGATGTGAGTATGTGAAGGTGTGAGTTTGTGAAGATGTGAAGGTGTGAGTTTGTGAAGATGTGAAGATGAGAAGATGAGAAGATGAGAAGATGTGAGTATGTGAACATGTGAAGATGTATAGCAGACCTCCGCTTTTAGAAGAATCCTTCGCTCAGACGCTCTCGGGAATAAAAAATGTACAATTATATATTTTAATATATATACATATATACATAGATTTGAATTTATATTGAGAATCAGAAAGATATCAGCCGGACAGCAGCCATCATGTTTTCTGGATGTAGACCACCAGAAGCTTGATATGCCAAGTGGCACCAAACATGAAATCTTTCGATGCCCGCTCAAAAAAAAACATGGTGGGCCAGAGAACCCAAAAGCAAGACGGCACACAGCACCTTTTTTTAAACAAAAATGCACGTGTTTTCCCGCATCACTGTGTGGGGTTCTGAATTTTTGCTGGCAATCCGCATCCTCCTCCCTTCTCCCCCTCCTCGTCGTCCTCCTCCTCCTCCCGCCGTCCTCCCTCATCCTCCCTCACATCACAGCCATCTCTATCAATTTCTCTCTATCACACTCATCTCTATCAACCTGTCTCCATGATCAACTTCTCTCCATCAACTTGTCTCTATCACTTTCATCTGTATCAACTTCTCTCTGATCACACTCCTCTCTATCAACTTGCTTCCATTCCTCGTTACCTTTCGGGTGGCAGGCGCGGCACTTGATGACCTATCTGGGCACTGGGACACCGGGAACTGGGATGGCGCGGATGCTTTTGGGACGCCGCGGCTGCTTTGCATGGCAGGCGCGGTGACCCTCTGTGGGCGCTGGGACGCCCCGGCTGCTTTGCGTGGCACCCCTCTCTACCTTTCGCGTGGCAGGGATTGTCTGGCCACTGAAACGCCGTGCCTGGGCGCTGGTGACCCACTGTAGATTGTCTGTGTAAAAGCTGTCCTGTGTAAATGTTTTTTGTGTGTAAAAGCTTCTCTGTGAAAATACTTCTGTGTGTAAAGGATGCTCTATGTAAAGGCTTCTTATGTGAAAGCTTCTGTGCCTAAAAGCTGCTTTGTGTGAAAGCGTCTGTGTGTAAAAGGGTTTGTGTGTAAAAGGCCTTTGCGTAAAAGCTGTCTTGTGTAAAAGCTTCGCTCTGTGTAAAGGCTTTCCTGTGTAAAAACGTCTCTGTGTAAAGGCTGCTCTGTGGAAAGGCTTCCCTGTGGAAAAGCTTCTGTGTGTAAAAGCTGCTCTGTGTAAAAGCTTCTGTGTGTAAAGCCTGTGTAAAAGCTTCTAAAAGCTTCTGTGTGTAAAGCTTGTGTAAAAGCTTCTGTGCCTCTGCGTAAAAGCTGTCCTGTGTAAAAGCTTCTGTGTGTAAAGGCTTCCCTGTGTAAAAGCTTCTGTGTGCACAAGCTGCTTTGTGAAAAAACGTCTGTGTGTAGAAGCGTCTGCAGGTCTTTGAGCTTGTTCGGAGGGTCACATGGGGGTTGTTCTGGACCCTGGTCGTGTGTAAAGGCTTCTCTGTGTAAATAATTCTGTGTGTAAAAGCTGTGTAGAGGCTTCCCTGTGTGTAAAAGCTTCTGTGTAAAAGTTTCTTTGTGTAAAAGCGTCTGTGCGTAAAAGCTTCTGTGTGTAAAGCTGTGTAAAAGCTGCTCTGAGTAAAAGGTTCCCTGTGTAAAGGTTTTGTGTAAAATTGTGTAAAAGCGTCTGTGTGTAAAAGGCCTCTGTGTAAAAGTTTCTGTGTGTAAAGGCGTCTCTGTGAAAATCCTTCTGTGTAAAAGCTGCTCTGTGTAAAGGCTTCTTATGTAAAAGATTCTGTGTGTAAAAGCTGCTTTGTGTAAAAGCGTCTGTTTGTAAAAGGCCTTTGCGTAAAAGCTGTCTTGTGTAAAAGCTTCGCTCTGTGTAAAGGCTTTCCTGTGTAAAAACGTCTCTGTGTAAAGGCTGCTCTGTGGAAAGGCTTCCCTGTGGAAAAGCTTCTGTGTGTAAAAGCTGCTCTGTGTAAAAGCTTCTGTGTGTAAAGCCTGTGTAAAAGCTTCTAAAAGCTTCTGTGTGTAAAGCTTGTGTAAAAGCTTCTGTGCCTCTGCGTAAAAGCTGTCCTGTGTAAAAGCTTCTGTGTGTAAAGGCTTCCCTGTGTAAAAGCTTCTGTGTGCACAAGCTGCTTTGTGAAAAAACGTCTGTGTGTAGAAGCGTCTGCAGGTCTTTGAGCTTGTTCGGAGGGTCACATGGGGGTTGTTCTGGACCCTGGTCGTGTGTAAAGGCTTCTCTGTGTAAATAATTCTGTGTGTAAAAGCTGTGTAGAGGCTTCCCTGTGTGTAAAAGCTTCTGTGTAAAAGTTTCTTTGTGTAAAAGCGTCTGTGCGTAAAAGCTTCTGTGTGTAAAGCTGTGTAAAAGCTGCTCTGTGTAAAGGCTTCCCTGTGTAAAGGTTTTGTGTAAAATTGTGTAAAAGCGTCTGTGTGTAAAAGGCCTCTGTGTAAAAGTTTCTGTGTGTAAAGGCGTCTCTGTGAAAATCCTTCTGTGTAAAAGCTGCTCTGTGTAAAGGCTTCTTATGTAAAAGATTCTGTGTGTAAAAGCTGCTTTGTGTAAAAGCGTCTGTTTGTAAAAGGCCTTTGTGTAAAAGCTGTCTTGTGTAAAAGCTTCGCTCTGTGTAAAGGCTTTCCTGTGTAAAAACGTCTCTGTGTAAAGGCTGCTCTGTGGAAAGGCTTCCCTGTGGAAAAGCTTCTGTGTGTAAAAGCTGCTCTGGGAAAAAGCTTCTGTGTGTACTTGCCCTTGCAGTTGGTGCACAGGGTGTCTCATGGAAATGACCCCATTATATACGTAAGTATATAGTTTATTTATGTTTATTTAAGTGGCCATCCTGTCATGCACAAGCATCAGTCTCCTAAATTTGAGCGATAAAGCTTCGAGCCCCGCTGGTAAGATCGAGCACGCACACCAACCAAAACTGTCACTTAAAAAATGATTCAAAAAATGTGATTTTTGCCGAATCTACTTTGCCGGCTTTGTGAGCTAGGAAGAAGTTGCTTTGAGGTAGTTGAGAACTGCAACAAGTCCCTCGCACATGAAAGACCTAGGGCTCAATTCATCAATGGATTTCAATCGATATCGTGGACTGATCGTAGACTGATCCTAGACTGTTCAGGAGGCAAACCGTTCAGGTCATGAAACGGAGCTGGCAACTTCTCAGCACACTGGGATACCAGACACGATACTCCAAGTCTCGGAAGAGTTGCTGTTGTGCACGACCCGACTCCTCCAACAATGAAATCTCATGAGACCTTGACAGCAAATGCGCAAGCGGAACTGATTGCGGCTGTTCAGACTGCCCAATCTTCTTGCTTAGTCTGCGTTAGAGCAAAGAACATTGGAGAACAGGAGAACAGAATAAGATGCGGTTTGAGGCAAACACAAATCAACTGGCCACTGTTTCTATGTCCGTTCCAGTCATTGAAATCTCATGGGCTACTTTGGATGGTGGCTTTGGGGATAAGAAAACTGACCGCCAGGTCTCGGCCCGGAATCTATGTCTGGGTTTGGGACTGCTTTTCCAGCTTTCTCCGCAGCTCCCCGTTCACAGAATTGACCTGTTGCGTCATGGAAAAGTTGCTGGTGAAACTCCAGATGTTTGAAGCAAGACCCCGCGAATCGAAATGAGTGGCGAGGTACCCGGTGTACAAATATGACTGCGAGAATCCGGGCTGAGACAGCTCGCTCGCTGTGTTGTTGAATCTTGACAGCGAGCATCAATCAAGGGCTGTTGAAATGCATGTTTGTATCGTGTACGTCAGATTACCAAACAGAAACTCTCCAGCATTAAAGCTTTCACTCACAATTTGTATGACGGTTTCCCTAAGCTCCCAGGGTTCTCAAAGCCCCCGATTTGTGAAGCGTGTCATTGGGCACATCTGCGAGGCGCCGCATGAGGGCTTCACCTCCCTTGGCAAGTTCTAACCTCGCAATGGGATGGGCTGCAAATCGTTTGCACGGCCAGATTACCCCGCATGAATTGAAAAGTATTGAAACGTGTCAACACGTTTTTGGCACAATTCTGCATTCGTGGTATAGATATGTATAGATGTGCACTCATGTGTTCTAGTCCTCTTCACTGGAATCCCACACCTGCTGTTTTTCGTAAATGATTGCAACACTCCTGCCCCCATACGGCGTGCGACGGCATCTGAGGGCTTTGCAAGTCACTCTCACCATTTGTTCGCCTTAGAGCTGCAAAACATCTCTGTGGATATCCTTACTGCACATTTGCACAGTTGAAGAACGATCGAAAAAGCTCCTCTCTTAGATACCGGTTTTGGGAGTTCTCAATCTTCAAGGCCCTGACGTCTGTACTGGCTCCGGCCTGTGTGAAAAAACCGGATCAGGAATGACAACACTCGGACAGAAGGCCAGAACTCATTGAGTGTTGAGGAAATGCATTGATCAACACACCTGCTCTGTAGCCCATGTTGGCAATTCGCTATCACATCATAGGAAATAGCGAGATCAGCTGATTTGCAAGCTTAAATGGAGCTGGAGGCAGACAGCACAGGCTTCTGCAGGACCCACTAAAACACGACACAACCCTTTGGGTCGCCTGGACACTGATGATGCCCTTGACACGGGAGTTTCAGACTGACTCGGATGCGGCTGACCTGACACTCTGCAGTGCAACATCATGCTACAGCTGCTACAGTCAAATCATGTCAAATCAACAAGATTCAACAAGCGCCCAGAGCAAAAACTAAATGCAACCACGATTCGTTCACTTGTACACATTTGAATCAAGAATCGAGACCAAATTGCAGAGCCCAAAAACAACAGGCTTCGCAGACATTTGTTCTCATTCTCAAATGTTCCTGCAACATTTAGAAACCTGTTCAAACAAACACGCAAAAAAAAAACTACAAGATCCATTCACCTTAATGAACCCAGTTCCAATTCCACAGTTCAGCTATTGCCTCGGTCGTGGGCCCTCCCATGTGAGCGCTCCTGTGTCAACTGATGTCAAACGCTGCCACATCGTCGATTGTGTGAGAGCATTGAACGTGTTTGATGTAAGTTGGATCTGGGGCATTGCTTCCCCGAGCTTGATCTCCAGTGCGGAGAATAACACAGGTCTGAGGCGTGAAACCCTGGGCATGGCAGGTTGCGCACATCATTTGTTAGTTCTGGTTCGTTGTGCAATGTGTACAACCGATGATATAACTTCTCATTCTTGTACACCAAGGTATGCGAGTCAACAGAATGAAACTCCATTTATGGGTAAAAGGATTCACCTGCAGAAAGTTCAACACCTAGTGAGTGACTGCCCCACCCGAATCACATGACCACCTTCTGTATTGCATCTCGAGCCGAGTTGAGGCTTGTGATGTTGCGTCCAACCTGTCGTGGCAAATAAGGTTGCGACCATCTGACAGTATGTTCATAGGTGGTCCAGGTGCAGTGCAGATATGTATGTTTTCGAAACATTTCACTCAGGTTCTCGCATAAACAACGGCAAACAATGGCACATGCACATGTTGCATGCTCTCCTGAACAGAGCAAAGGGCGAACCTTTGCTTTCGAGGATCTGGGTCCGAAACATCTTTCCCAATCTTTCCGAATCTTTACAGTACCCCTTGTGAATTCTGCTGATCCTGGCATCATCCTGCCTTTAACTTTGTGGATTACACATGTGCAACAGTGCAACCATTACAATGTTGCATATCGTTACACGTCGTAGCCCTACTCCGCCCAAAAAAAAACATGGCCCAAAGCACCTCTTGAAGCTTCCCAGGGCGCCTCAATTGCCGTCGTTTTGCTTCAGCTCCACAGCCAGAGACCGGGTCTGGAACAATTGCACCAATCCAAGTTCCGTGATCCAAGTTCCAACAAAGTCCAGCTGCGAAATACTGTGCAATCATAAATCAGCTTGCATAGATTCTGCGTGACAAGAACCGGTGTTTGTGTTGCCTCGTGTCTCCAAAGAGCTGTAGCTTCACATGGACGTTTCAGGAATCCTGATTTTTTGTGAAATCTATGTTTGGTTTCAGACTTGCTGTTTTACACGCAGAGGATTTCTGATGTTTACCCAGCTAAGGCATAGACTTGCGCGCTCCAGGAGGCCTTAGTTGGACTTGGAGGCTCATGGTCCGCACAGAAACGGTTTTGTTTTTCTCTAGTCAGCCGCCAGGCTCTAAGTGCTCGACGAGCGTGGAGAGGCACGGTGCGACTCCATCAAAGCAGAAAGAAAAGTGTTACTTTGACGCCTGCCTCAAAGCCTGGATGAACAATGATCAACGATGATCAACGTGTGTTTACTTGCAATGGTCCTCTGCCACGAAAACCCCTCGATGACTGGCCATTTTAGTTGTCAATTGCTCCTACTGTACCAGGATCGATCTAGTGGCGGTCAGCATTCCGGAGGGTCTCTATTGTTCAATTTGTTCATGTTTTGTGATGGGGCTGCTGATGACTTGAAAGCTGCTTTTGCGTTGTATAGCTTTGCATGCCCGCTCATGCTCACTGCTACATCTATATATTACCTGCACAGGTGAGCAAAAAAGCAGCAAGGAACCAGCAAAGATCAGACCGTCAGATTGTGAGCAATCCCTTTCCCCTAATATAAAATTCCTCAATACAGCCCCCAAAATGAATAGATCCAATGGTAAACCAGGGTTCCGGCAAGGTTACTTAGATCACAATACAAAATATTTGAGGGGAAACAATTTCCTCAGTCAAAGTCGTCCCCAATCTAGTAGATTCCTCAACCAGCATTCAATGTTACATTTGAGTCACCAGTTTGGGATCCCCAAGTCACTTGCAACCTATGCAAGCAAAGTTTCACCAGACCCACGGCAGGGTGACCGCGTTGGCTGTGTTGGATCGTGGCTTCATCGAGCCTGCACGCTCGAACACTGGGATCAAAGTGGGCAAGCGGCCCAAAATCAGGATTGCCATGGAATTCTTCATCAAAAATAAAGACCACTGAAATATTGAATGGAGAGATGCACCCAGCACAACAAAATCAAATGTGCAACAAGAACGCTTGGATGCCGTGCTTGGCTGTGAAGAAGCGCTGCAGATGTTCTACAAGAGAATGACAACTTCTCTAAAACAAAATCGACAATTATGCAGGGCTCCCGAGGCTGTGGCTATCGTCCTTCTTTGAACTTGCCAGTTTTTTCTCCTAACAAGCAGTGCCAAATGCAAACATGCCACAAAGCCGCAATACAGCAGAAAATATACCACGCAAATCATGTCTCTGGAGGCAACTGGGAAAACGGTGGGTGTTTCTGACACAGGATTCTTCCACAATCAAGGTTCTTCGGGCCTTCGCCGCCTTGGCTGCCGCTTCAGGCCTGAAAATTGGGTGCTTCTCAGGGTCCTGCTCGTGTAAGACCTCAGGCAAAACGACTCTGTTCAAAATCTCTTTGGACAATTCGGACATGGCAGTGTGTCAAAACCTTGTACCCCTGGTGAACATCAAAATAGCTGGTAAATGGATGTTCATCTCACTAAAAATGTATCTATAGGTATTGACCCATACCCACATCCTAGAACATCAGAGCAAATGAAGAAGCCAGCATAATCTTGCAGCTTTTGCCGCTTACAACAAGCCTGCTTCTTCAATTAATTCCGTTGTTGCATCTCGCAGCCAGAATTCAATAGCCCTCGGCACAGGGAAACTGGATCTTTGATGAGAATCGGCAGAATCACCAGTTTTGGGCTATAACATGTTTAATATGTTTATACAAAAGAAACTCTGAGGAGCTGAAGCTAATGAAGATGGTTTGAAGATGTTTGAAGATTCACATATTGAAGCTATCAGCTGAGATATACTATACAGTACGAAACAAAGCCGCATTGGTTTCGGGGTAGGTCCTGATAGAACGAAGTGTTACTGTGAAGAACCGCTCGCTTGACACTCTTTTCCACTCACCAAGTTCCCAAGCTGCGGAACTGCTGAAGTGCTTCACAAGCTCCTCTCAAACCCTTGGGTCAGGAAGACTGAGCTTAAGTATGTGTCTACATTGAGATAATTGTTAGACAACATGTATGTATAATATGATATGATAATATATTATATGATATTATATGTATTGTATATGAACCATAATCAATGAATTCCCAATTCTTCTGCTTTGCCATGATTTGAGAACACCGAAATAAACAACGAAGGTCTCAGCTCCAGCCGCAGTGGTTTTTTCGGCAGTGAAAGTAGGGGACTCAGCGCTCCTCGTGACCCTGGAAGCGTGCATAGCTCACCGCGGGGGCCTCGCAAGTTGCTGCAGGCAGGTCGTGGCAGGTCCGTGTCCACTGAATGGAGCAGCAAGAGTCTTATCCGGTGTGGTTACCCTATGCATTGACTTTGAACATCTTTTAACTCTACTCTCTTCACTACACCATACTACACCACATCCTCCTACATACAATATATGTCGGAGACCCCAGTGACAAACTTCAATCAGATGTTACGAAAAGAGAAGCCTGGAAGCATTTTGCATAATAGGCAGCATTCTAGCCTTGTTAATAGCAAAGTCTGCACAAGCTTGAAGGTCAGTGTGAGAACACTGCAAGGCCTTGACAGTGGGCTCTTTCATGAATTCACGCCAGAATCCGCTCTTCACCTTAGCCATGAGGAATGGGTCAATGAGCGGCCAATGCATTTGATTTGGGCTTTTGTTTGACTGCGTGCAAAAATGTCTGAGGTTTGTGCCATGACAACAAGTTTGTGCACATCCTCAGTCGGGTAGCAGTTCAGTGCTTTTCAGAAGGAAAACGGGTCCTAAACGGGCAACTTTGCAATTTACCTATACAACGATTCGAAGACTGTTTCAGACAAGAGATCAATGCCGGATTTCGACGACTTGCGCCCGTTTTGTCGCAATTTGGAGCAAGCAATGCAAGTCAGAACTAGCGTCTGCACAACTAACAGCATAAAAAGGACAAACAAGTCATGTCCTGCAATGAATTTTGAAATATCCTATCATTGCAGCTGGGACTGGCCATCAGGGCAAAGCCAACTGCATCCAAGCGTCAATTGGCGAAATGAAGTTCACAAATGCGAAACCTGCTGGAACATTGCGGTGCTCCTGGGGCACATTGCAGCAGGGAACATAAGCTTCAAGGCGTAAAGGCTTCAATAATTCAAAATATTGAAAGCAAACTAGATCCAAGAGTCCTTGCAAGGCATGTAGAAGAAGGTAAACCCTTGGCAAAGTGAGGGCAGGTGTCATGATACACATGCTACATGACGCAACATACTATGACATAAGTCGACCTGGCACTCCCACTCAAATATACTTCGATCAACGCAAAGCCACCGAACGCCAACACACCACTCAACAATGCGTTATTCTTCGGTATTTCAATGTGTGCAAATACCACATGTATGTCAGGGAACGTACTGTTTATGTTTTCTTTAAGTCTCTCTTGCTTGTGATTTCATGTGAGTCATCAGTACTCTCCTTCAAACAGCAGATGCTCGCTGAGGACAGGGCTGTCTGACAGACCACACTTCTCCAAGAACATGAGAAAATCCTCGCGATTGGCATGCACATTATGAGAGAGACAGTGTGATAGGAAGAGGTAGAAACAAGAAAAAGAAACCATGGAGATCTGTCACCAAGAATAGTGCATGTAAAATCATGTTAATGATAAATCAAACCATCGCCCATCCACAGCGGTACAGGTCCGCTTTGCATAGTGTCCCCACTGATACGAAGAAGTATCGAAGCGACTCAGGTCCCGCAACCAGTACCACACCAGATGAATCATACCACAGCAATCAAATCAGAACAATCTTGAAGCAAATCCTCTTTTTGCGAAGGTGCTGCAAAGCAAATAAATTGCAATGGGACGGGACATGCAAATCATGCAAGAAAGGAGTTGTCCACGGAGCACGTGGTGTAGCCCGAGAGATACAAAACGGGAAAGTTCGAAGAGCTACATTGGCTTGTCATGGCTGGTGCATCCTTGTGCTAGTTTCAGGCGAAACCAAAAAGGACAAGGAACAAAACTGTAAGGAAGCTCTAGCGGCGGTATGAGTCCACTCGCAAACTGCTCAAATTCGACGATCGGCATTTCAAAACTCAAGAAACAAAGAGTCCAAAAAGAGTCCAAAAACTCACTATAGCCTGCTATTCTCGCCTGGTATTCTTCGGGATTACCTAAAAGATACTTACCTTTCATATCTTTCTAGTCCCAGGATGTCCCAGGGTGTCAATGCTTTCTCAGACTTTTAGGTTACATCTGGACAAGAACAGCTTGTCTGAACCACCAGTCTCAGAAAAACTGGATCCCGCTCCAATACCATATCATTATACATACATATATACATAATTATATATATATATACACACTGTGTATGGGGATATATTATATCTTTTTTTTGCTGTCGCTCATTGTTGCATCTGCAGCGGCTCTGCTAGGTCCGGTGAATTCGAAACGCTGTGAAAAGAAAATTAACCCCCGGCATAATCCTTGCCAATGGTGTGTCCGAAAGATGACGCTTGCATGGATCGGCACAATTGGACAAATGCTTCGGGGGGTGAAGGCAAATCGTCCGCAGCCTCACAGCTGGCAAAAGCGGCACGAATTGCCGAAGAAATGGCCCGGCAGAAAGCCGGCGCATACTCTTTTAGAGTCGTTGTGCGCCAAACTCCTGTTTCATCTTTCCCAACGGCCCTATGCTGGGGAAGTTCCCTACGAACTCTGTACTTGTGCAGGAAGGACATCATGGCCGGCAGGTTCACGCACATGAGTTCCGTAGGTTTGGGTGATCTGGATCCCATGAGGCCCTGCGCAAATTTCAATCTCTGCACTCCTGGAAGCATCTGCAGCACCTGGACTATCGGTAGCTTCCAAATTGAAGCAGATCCTTCCAAGTCTGTAGGTTCAGCCGGGTGCTCAAGCATACCTACGCTGCCTGCTAATGCCGTCTCCATAAGTGCTTCAAGAGAAAAACATAGGAGGCAGTTCCCAATGTTGACTTGCTTGATCTCCCGAATTGCTAAGCAGTTATACCCCCAAAGGTGTCTTCGTCACGTAGCACGCGAGGAAGATGCTGTTGAGGTTGTTCTGCATGCTGCTCATCGGCTGCCGAATTGACACTTCTCACACGCGACCACGTTTCGCATGGCGGGCCCGCGAGGAATGCGAGCACAAAACGCTCGCGGATCGCGTTCATCCACAGCTGCCTCGTAGACGCTTTGGATGCATCTCCCCATGTGGCGTCAATCACGATGTCAAGGGAGACGACCGTGATGAAGTATGCATCATCTGCATGCATGCCTGTCCCTTTCCAAATAGTATTGGACGTCTCCCACACGCCTTCTGCCTGCGAAGGCATTCAGGATGATCCGATGTCGTCCAAACAGTTTTGGAATTGCCGGCATCTGTGGCATTTGGCCCAACTCCTGCTGTAACGTCTTCAGCGATTCATGGTAATGTTGGATAGGTTTGGAGGTCATTCTGTGTGCAGAGGTCTGACTTCCAAAATGCCATGTTGCCGGGCTTCTAAAGGCGGCAAAGATGTCTTGCACGTGCTTCAATGCAAAACCAAATACGCTCGCATCTGCCTCATCGATATTGGTCACAAAAAAATGGAAAGTGCTTTGCGCCCTTGTCCATGAAATTGCATTCTCCTTAATGTGGCCATAGATCGCGTCATGCAAGCTCGTCTGCTCCACGTCCTTGTCCTGGTGGTCCACAAAGAAGTCAACCAGGAAGATGTAGAGCTTGTCGTCAATGTCCTGAAATTCACGGCGTCCAGGATCTGGGAGTCGAGGACCAGCTGCTTGAAGTGGTGGAAGCATGCGATCATGGTTCCTAACCAATTCATTGTCTGCAAGGGAACCAACTCCTGGTTGTGCTGCATGGCCTCCTCCTCTGGAAAGCAATAGGTGTCTACACTCATGTGAATAGTAGAGATGCGCTTTGATTCTGCCATTGGTGTGGAACTCCTTGAGGCATGCTTCACACTGCGTGCCATCGAAAAGACTTCTCACTATCGACTGTTGCCCATGAACTCGAAACATATGAGCTGCTTCACCTGCTTTGTTCTTGCATCTCAGTCCACAGCTCAAACATCCGTAAAAGGCTTGCTCTTCTACCTGCTTCTGTTCTGGCATCTCCCATTGCACGTTTCCCAGCCAATCATCACAATGCTCATGTAGTCTGTTGCACATGCGCTGAAGAGAGGTGGTAACAAGATGCTGTTTCTGGATCTGCATGGTCTCATGAAGACAGGCTCTGTTGACCAGTTTTTTCCAATAGGAAGAATGATGACTGATCAAATCGAACCATTGGTCCGGATGTTGGCTGGGATCCTTCAAGGCTGAAGCCCGTCTCAGTTGCTCCCACATCCACTTCATGTCGTCCTCAATGACCTGAACCCATTGTCTATCGGCACCTAGTAGATGCCAAAGATCTGGAACAGCGCAGCGGAGAAGCACAGAAAGATACCGCAATCGAGATCTCCTCAAAAGCGTTGTAGGGGTAGGCAAAGAGGTTGATGCAATGATCTCTTGATCCATGATGTGCGTGTCTGGTTTGATTTTCAGCAGGCGTCGATACAAACGTAGAATGGCAGCCTCAAACTTGCGCATAGTGCGAATGTCACCTGCAATCCATGAGTCTGCTCCATACAGTACCTTCGTGAGGACCAGGGTGTTGAAGATTTCATGTCTCTTCTGCACTTCGATGTGGTCATTGTGGTAGAGTAAGCGCCGATGCTGGTTGAAGGCTCCATGGCCAATTGCCAAACGTTGCGCGACTTCACGTGCTTGATCACTGGTGTGATGAAGCACACCGCCTAAATGGCGGTACTCTTTGACGAGCGAGATTTTCTGCGTCTGCCTCTCACAAATCAGATTCGGTGACATCAAATGCTGTTCGTACAAGTCTAGAAGGTAGCTGATGGCAGGGCCGATGGTGCTTTCTAGGCCTTGAGCAGTGTGATGTTGGACGCACAGGCACAAATCGTCCATCCACGTTGGCCCTAGGAAAGGCTTGTTCACATAGTCGGTGATCTCAGGCGCGAAAAATGGTGGTCTTTGCATGGTTGGGATCAGTGCAATGAGCTCATGATCGATGAGGAAGTCCTGAAGCCTTTTCAACACCATGCTCCATGTGAAGCCAAAGATCACGTCGGCGAACGAATCGCCTGGGCGCGTGCCAAGGCTCGTCTCTACCACATCTTTCTGTTCCGCTAGCCAAAAGTGTGTATTGCTGTGTATTGCACGAAAGCAATTCCTGGCTGTGGCGCTGAGGCCCGCATGTTCCAAGGCCGTTCCATTGTCAAGGACTGCATGGAGCTGGTGCATTGAATCAGCAGGCAGTCGCAACTTGCGGAACACATAGCTCAGCAACTCATCTGTGGGCGTGCCTCCCATGGAGAGCTCCCGCAAGATGCGGTAGAACGCTTCTGTCAGGTCAAGGAATAACAGCCCTGCTGACAAGTGCTGCTCCCTGGCACGCCTCAAAAAGGCCATTGCTTGGTGCAGTGCCATCTGCACCGGTACTTTCCTTCGGCCTCCGAGCTGTTGACCTTGTAGGTACTTTTCGTAGGCCTCTGCTTTGTGCTGCCGGATGCAGCGATGAATCACTTTGCCCAAGTGTGATGAGATTAACAGGGACCGGAAGGAATTGACTCTGTGAGTCGGTCCTTTGCCTTTATATGCCGGCACTAGCAAACCTCCCTTGAACAGGAGGGGCTCCTGTCCATGCAGGATCAGCTTCAACATCTGTGTGTATGTCGCTGGCGCCAGGAGCTCTGGGTGGAATCTGCATATCTCTCCCGGAACACCATCAGGACCGGTGGCTTTCTTGCAAGCAACTCGCCTGTACGCCAGCTCCATCTCGGTGAGCGTTGGCACCTCCTCCATGGTAAGCTGGAAATCGGCCTGGCGGAAGGACTGAAGGCAGCCAATCCACTGTTGTCTCAGTTGTGCTTCTGTCACTCTTTGGCCACCTTCCATATCTCTGAAAAAGTCCACCCGGACCGCCAGAGCTTCTGTGGGGAGAGTGCATGGTTGATCTTCTGCATTGTGAATCAGTGGCAGCGTCGCCTTCTTCTGCTTTCGCGGGTTTGTGGGCCCGATGAACGGCTTCAACTCCTTGAGGATGTCCGCTGCCGCACTGTTCTCATGCAGTTGGCTTAATCTCTTTTGCAGGAGTGCTGACTTAGAGATCTGTAGCTTGGCTCTCATCAGCTTGCGATATCTGCAGAATCCTAGGTACATCTTCACTTGGCTGCAACGCAAGCTGGTGCCATAGTTGAAGAACTGCGCAAAGTCGGTTGTGCTTGCTCTGTTTGTCCACGCCTTGAAGACCTGGTAGAGCGTCTCTGCCGCCAGTCTACGTCTGATTTCTTTCGTGATCTGCCTGCATTGGAGCTTCTGCACTCGAAGTTGCCAAACTTCAGGGGTCACGTATGCTTTCTTGGCACTGGCCACTTGCTGTGTGCGCAGAGAGCCCATGGATTGCTGAAGATGTTGAACCAGTTGACCTGCTTGCTGTTCTACATCGACGTCCCAGGACTCCGGCTGATACTTGATCAACCCCTCCTTGATGATGGGATCTTTGAAGTCAATGTTGAGGCCAACTTTCTTTTGCTTCTTGTCCTTGTACTGCTGGATACGTGCATCCCATTGCAGTTGAAGAGTCACTGCGCGGTGGTCTTCATGCCGTTGCGCAAGGTCAAAGTCTGCTAGCACTTGTGAATGTGTGCATCTCGACAGCCACTGGTGCGGGATCGCAATGTGGTCAATGCAATGCATCGATGTTCCATCTGGCGCTGTCCACGTGTTGTTGTCGCCAGTGTGGCACATTGTTGTGGCTGGCAAGCAGAGATCACGTTCATGTAGTGCTGCACGAAATAGTGGCGTATTGCTTGAAGTCGCAAAACCTGGTCTGTGCACTACTTTGCCATCAGCTTCGCCTGGTGCCGCATTTGCATCCAGAAGCCATAGCATAGGAGCTTCATCACAGTGTTCCTGCAGGATGCGCCTTGTTTCTTCCCACCATTGTGTGCGTTCTGTTTGGGTTTTACCACTGTGTGGCGCATGCGCGATGAAGAACCAACAGTCCAGCAAAGGATGGTCACAGCGGAGTAGCATGCGTCTAGGATCACCATGTACAACGCAAAAGGTGTTGCGGGTCAATTTGTGCTCAATGTATTTGCGCTTTCTTCTCTGCCATCCAATTGGTTGGTCAAGATCAAACCAGATTTCGACTCCTAGATGGCCTTTGCAATGTCCAGACGCAAAGCACAGGAAATTGTTGGCCACCCTGACTCCTGCTTCTGATCTGGCTTCCTGAATAGCAAGACAGTTCAGCTTGTAGAATCTCATTTGTGCTTGCAGGAAATGAAGTTTTCCTCCATGTCCTTCTGGGCCCTTGTAGAGCGATTGCACATTAGCTGTCGCCAAACTGAATGCACATGAAACATCATGGGTTGAAAGATGAAGTTCACCTCCATGTGATTCGGCATCAATGTGAGCCGGTGGCAGCCTTGGCGCTGGCATTTCAAAACCTCCATTTTTCCATGGTGGCAATCCTTGATTCTGTCCAAAGATCATCCATAGTTGACAAAGGCGGCTGTGCCAGACTTGCAAGTCCAGCTGCTGCCTTTTGTGATTGAAGGACTGCCGCGCCTCTTGCTTGGCTGCATGGTCAACGAATTCGTTGTATGGGTCCCCTGCATGGGACCTAGTATGATGGAGTTGGATGCCTTCATGTGTGAGGGCATGCTGTAGCGCTTGGATGATCCCTCTCATTAGCATGTACGATGGGTCAGGGTCTGCGACTCCCAAAGTACCAAATGCTTGTCCACCTGTGGTAGCTGAATCGGTGCATATCACCGTGGGGACCCTGACGTTCTGTGACATTCTCCATAGTCCCGCAAAGGTAAGAGCAGCCCTTTCAGCTTGATCTGAGCCTATGCGCTGTGTTCCTGTGAATGCTTTGCCTTCTGGCTGGTAAGACACTGGCTGTGCCGTCCAGCCGATTGGCACAACGGTGGACGAGTCTCCTCGCTCATCATACTTTTCACCTAGTACGAGGAAGGCCCAGGTGTCTTGTAGTCCAAGTTCATCTGCTCGAAGCGGCGCCATTCTTCTCCCTGTGGGTTTGGAGGATCCATCAGTGTAAATGAGCAGCCTGTCATACTCCTGGAGTTCAGGTGCAGATCCTTGTGGCATTTGAAACTTGGACTGGATGTAATCTGGCAGGTCAGGGATACCAAAGTCATGACAAAGACATGCATCCCCAGAGCTAAAGAGCAGCTTCATGTCCTCCACATTGAAGTCTGTGCGCAGGACGCATGGAGCTTCCAATTCTGGAACTTGGTGAAGATCAATCAAAGCGTCTCCGTGTGTAGCCAGCACAGGTTGTCTAGCTGGCCATGGGCTTCTGGCCTTCACACTTTGTGGCTCTTGCTCTAAGATTGGCTCCTGATGCGAAAATGTAATCTTCCTCCAGTTCCAGCACAGTTCTTCTTGTTGCAGAATGACTGCTCGCACATAGCCCAAACTGCAGAGTACTTCCATCAATCGTTCTTCTGAAAGTCGTTGATGATCACTGTGAACAAAACATCCATCTTCATCATGTGCATCAATGTGACAGAAGAGGTGATGTTGAAGTGGCGATGGCTCCTCTGTCTCTCTTGTGCATACAAATAATTTGTTTTGTGGGTGACAATCCCATACCAAGAGGTCATGACCCCAAAGAAGGAGCTCTGCCTTGACTGCGTCTGCGGACGGCATGGCTGTTAGCTCAATATACTGCGGAAGCTGCAGTGTGGGATCTTTGTTGATGATCTCCGTGGCATGGCGTTCTTCCTGTAGGGGGGAGGACTGTGTTATGTCAGACATGTGTCGTGGCCCATGGGTGTGAGCCACCTGCCCATGTGTTTGGCGCTCACGACCATGTGTCAGGATACATGCTGATAGTTGAAGGAGCACTGGGCCTATGGGTGCCGCAGGTAAAAGATGCACCACTATACTTGTACCGCTGCGACCAGGCCATGTAGTGCCACGTGGTAGTTGATGTTCTGCATACCAAACTTCACATTGATAGATCGCATCTGCATTGTAGCACAATTCGGTGTGGCCAATGCCATCAATGATGTGCTCGGCTTTCAGATGCTCATGTGTCGTGCCTGCAATCTGCATTGCAGGGCCTTGTAACCCTTGTTCATGCTTGTACACAGTGATCAGGTTGGTGATGAGAACATCATGTGGATTCTGAATGATGATGACATGTCCTGCATTGTCATGTTCTCCATCTGGCGGTGTGGGCTGAACCAGGAGAAATTCAAGTGGTTCGCCTTCATGAATCATGTCACGCCAAAGATGCTTGAATGTCTCAGTCCAGTACTGCGGCTGATCATGAAGCTTGGCTTTGCGAGGGTGGTCGCAATGAAGTTGCTGCCGTCCATGATCTACCATCCATGTCGTAACAAAGCATGACTTGGTCTCTTCTCCCCTTGTTGCTGCTTTAGTCTGCCATTGTCCATGGAGATCCTGGATAAACTCAGTCTGCAAGCGCAGACACGCGCTACCTGGCCGGAACTCAAGAGCATATGGGTTCATTGTTGACTGCTGGGCTTGTCCAGGTCTTTGCATGAGATCAACCTCATCGTCTGACTCCGCATTCCAGATGTCCGATGTTTGCGGCTGAAAACTGTGAAGAACTAGCAAAAAAGCAAAACCATGCCGTAGTTGCCATCTGTCATTGAGGTCAAGCAAGTCCTCGCCATGCCAAAAGGAACAATGACGCGCCTCCAGATCTCTGCCACAAAGAGTATCAAGCGCAAAAAATGTGAGCATCTCATCATACGTGGCAGACATTGGCGCGAAGAGCGCAACCTGTTCATACACACTGCCAGTGGCCACTCGATTGTTCAGGACAGTGATGACAGATGCCCTTTGGTCAGCCGCAGACCTTGAGACCACAATGACATGGCATTGGCGATTATCCACAAATGTTCGCCCTGGTGGATTCGGATATACAATGTGGAGCTCCGCCGGCATGTTGTCCTCATGTATATCTTGCCATGCTCTGAGAATGTGACGTTGCCAATTCCAGTAATCCACTGCAAGGCGAACTTCTCTGGACGCCACACAACGCTGATGATGTGGGAAACTCAGGTACCATGTCTGAACAACAAAAGAATCATCTTCTGTCTCAGTGGCAGCTCTTGCCTGGTCATGTCGGCGTTGATGGAGTTGTCTGATTGTATCTGGCTGGTCTGCGAGATCTTGTTGCCAATTCGCCGGGGCTGGCATGATGGTATCACAAGACGTATGGAAGATGGGTGCGTCTTGTTCTCCATGTGACTTCATTTCAAGGACGGGCATCACAAAGTCCTTGTCTAGGAAATCAGGTCGTTCATCTAGCTTTGGCGTCATCCAGGATTGTAGAAGTGCATGATCTTCTGTGACCTCAAAATCAGGCACAATGGGGACCATGGATGTCGTCAGCTGTGAATTTGTCCAACCTGCTGCTCGTAGTGCTTGATGATCTTGGAGCTCTTCAACTGTAATGCCATGATGGAAAACATTTGCAAGGTTGCGCGTCCCAAGATGGCAATGTTCTGCTTCCCCAGGTGGAATGGCAATTCTGAGGTAATCCCCATCGTTGATGGACATCAGAGCTGCACTGCCTCTTGGGGTCATCTCATGGTTGTGCCAACAAATGCATTGATCGTTGTGGGCTCTACAATAATGTCCAAGGCCAAGAGAGTGCAGCAACGTGATTCTGCCAATGTGAGGCGGCAACTTGTAGACCCTTCTCACAATCTCTGGCTGGATTGTCGGCAAAGCGCTGTGAAATTCCACATCAATAAGGACCAGTCGTAGTGCAGATCCTGGTGAAAGATCTCCATGTCGATGCGCAATGATGGCTTCTGTGTTTGCTCTCGCAAGATCATCTGGTCGATGCCGTACTTGATGAGTGTCATAAAGTTGATGAGTAGAAATGGCCAATGCTTGTGCAACCAAATTGTGATAGCTGTCATGATCGTTCCAGTCCAAACGCAATGGAGTCTCCGCGAAATCAATTGCAAAAAGGACTGTCGAGTGCCAGTCTGGGGCGTTTGCTGTACTTTCCCTGTCAGACGCCTCCTCTAGCACTGATTCAAGTTCATAGTCAGCAAGATCAACATGTGCTCCTTGTTGAAGCTGCAGCTGGTCTTCTGCTTCTTGTGGATCCATGGCAATGTCAGCGTCATCGATGATCTGATTCGGTGCACCATTTGGTAGTTGACGATCTTCGCGTCGAACTGGAACAGCCATGAAGGTGACTTCGTCAGAAAGGTGATGCGGTTGAAAAATCATTGCCTCCGATATCTTCTGCGCAAGGTTCAGCGGCCATCTTTGCAAGGAAAAGTCATTCTCTGGGCCCACATAGAGATCTGCTTTGTCTGCAAAGGAGACCCGCTGCCATGCTCGTCTTGACATAGATCTGCTTGGTGCTCGCTCTGAATGCGCTCCACACATCGGATTGAGCTCATACTGCAGGTCTAAAGCCTGAATGGATGCCTTCCACTCTGGAACAAAGTTCAATTCTTCCAAGATTGAATGTTGCCATTGGAGAACAGCTGGATGCTGTCCAAATTCATGCCCTGGACAAACCTCCGCATGTTGGTCTATTTGTCGGGCTTGCCAAAAGGCTGCATAGCACCAGATCCTAAGGCTTTGGCGGTGCCCTCGAGTCTGGCTTTTTTGTTGACCTGTTCCTCCTCTGTCTCCTCTGCTGGCCGTACACGACCATTCTCGAGAGTGGTCAACATCGCGGTGATGCCATTCTGGATTTCCTCCGCAGATGCTAGTTTCTCCGGCACGTCCTCGTCCATGTCTTCTGAGATTTCCTCTGCATCCAGAACCTCCGCATCTTTCTTGTCCAATGCCGCTTTCGCTGCATCGTGCTTCTCCTTGGCCTCTAGCATCGCATCTTTGGCTTCTGCAACCTTCTGTTCCAGCGCCGCATCCTTCTTTGCAAAATCTTCTGCAAAAGTGCGCCAGCGCTTGATGGACTCCTCCAGGTAGGTGTTCCAGGAGTGATGTAGGTTGGCTCTTGCCTTCTGTGCTGCGATCAGGTGTTTCCTTTTCTGCTCGAGGTGATGGAAAGCTTGTCGGACTGATTTCGCAGTTGCAATTGGTTGTTTGGTCTTTTCGACTACCTTTTGCACATCTGCTGAAAGAGGGTTTTCCGAAGTCTCCAGTGCTTCGAGAAGTTCTTTCAGTTGCTGCTCTGCAAGTGCGTTGGTCGCTGTGGAGGCTTGTGGTTGCACTGGCACAGCATCTGTACCCTTCCATGGCGGTTCCAACGCAGGAGCTCCATACTGCGATTGCTTCTTCTTGCCTCTGGGCGTACTTCCCCTCGGTCGAGGTGATTGCGTAACCTTTCTTGTCTTGGGATGCTTCTCCTTCTTTGCAGGTGCCTCCCATGTAGATTCTTCCCATTCTTCCCATTTCTGCTGTTGACGTCTTCTGGGACTCTTGGCATTCTGGCTGCCGTGCACGTAGTTGATATCCACACAATGTTCCCAACTTGTGTAGCATGAACCGCACGTCATCGCGTGGTTCTTGTTCAACCTCTTGCACCACACGCAGCGCCACGGTGCCCTGGATGTAGTCGACATTGCTACTTGTAGCTGTCGAAGAAACGCAGGGTCCTTCGAGTGATGCCTTCCAAGCCGGTCGTGAATGGATGCAAGCTGTTGTTTCGTCAAATGTTGCAAACCACGACGATGGAGATGCCACTGAAAACGGGCGGTCGCCCGTCCACGGCGCTCTCGTCTCCTCCGGGTTGGTGTTATCCTTGGATACAAAGAAGGTCACAAAGATGAACAGGAGCAAAATGGGCATGTAGTAGCCAAAGAAGAGGGGGATTATGGCAAAGGTGTTCAGGACAATGTCAAACTGAACAAAGAAGATGCCAAGCCCGATCTCGATGGCGTTGTACACTTGACCAATGCTAGAAGGTGTTGCTGGTTGGTCACTCCAGCAGAGCACCATGCTTTGATGCAGTCACCAAAGAGCCGCACCAATGCACCAAAAGGCCAGGGTCGAATGGCCCGCAGGCAGGTGGTCACAAATGCCCGCCCGCTCAGGTGAGGTACGAGGGGCAGTGAGATTTCCCTCAGCCAAACCTTATATTATATCTATACATATATATATATATACATATATATACATATATATATATATATGTGCTTCACAAAAAGTGCTTGGTGATGCTTGGTGACTGAAGATAGCTTGCAAGAGCGCTCCTTGCGTGCGCTGATTCCCACAAGGTTTCTGATCATCACTGTAGTCCGAGAATCCTCGCCCCTTTGGATCCTCAAGGCTCGCAACTTCTCGAATATGGCAGCAAGACATCAGCAAACGTACCCTCTGGTAATTTAACAAAAAGCTATTGAAAATGGCCATTTATAGTGGATTTACCCATTATTTTCAATGGTGATTTTCCATAGTTATGTTAATTTACCATTGGGATCCATTGGGATCCATTGGGTACAACATTGCGGAAGCGCCAATTGAGACACACCATGAGACTTGCGCAAGCAATATATTAGTTTTGCGCCTCCAAGAGCAAATGACCAGAGTTGGACTGGGGAAGATGATTCATCTAATCCCTGTTTCAATCTGTGTACACGATAAGTTGAAATGCCACAACTAACCGAAGCGTTACAGTCAGTAAACCAGAACGTTCCAAATTGGTTTCTGGAAAGTGTGCCTTATGTTTAGCAGTTCAACTAGCCCACGTTTGACCTACCACTGATGAAGATCCGCTCCTATCAGGATCGATGTCGTACTTCTGAAATTCCTTCGTGCTAACCTGCAAAGTCATCACAAGAAAGTGCTTTTGACAGCAAGGATACGTGCACAGCGGAAAAAACATGCACATTACCGCTACAGTGTGGTCTACATATGTTTACATACCCTATTTCCATCTGTTTCCAATCTTGCACTGAGTCACAGGCAGCAGAGCAGAATGCATGAGCAGGTAACCATAGGGAACCCCTGTACCCAGACTAGTCTTACTGGACGACAAGAGAATTTGGCTGGCATGCCACCTTGGTCCTGACAGGCTTGTTCGCACGCTCTCCCTTCGCTGTCTCCGCGTCCTTGGAAAACTAGGGAAAGGGTGGAAGTTTATGCCAAGGGTCCAAAAGCGAACAGCCATCCAATTTTGAAACTATTCAAAGAAGTCCAGTGCCACAAAGCAGTCAGCACCATCTGTGTATGCACTATCGCCCGCTCAATCCAATATCAACTCTAGGCAACCCGTACTTGAGTCTGTGCATCTGTGGTATCTGCAGCTTCCTCACCCAGAGCCACCAAGGAAACCAATGTGTGTATATATATATACACACACATATTATATATATATACACATATACATATATATATATTATATAGGATATATACATATATATTCTATATCATATATATATATATGAGCCCGGTCCCCGGACCCCCACACCCCCCAATGGTATCCCCCCCCCACTCCTAACCCCCCCACCCCCCAAAACCTAGTATTTGCATGTTATTTGCACATATACATACACATATACACATATATACTCCCCTTTCCACCCCTCCAACCTCGCATCTCTACATTATTTGCAGCACTTGAGAGCCACGACCTCGTCAACGGACCTTGTCTACCTGTATATTTCTATCATAACCTTTTTTTCGAACCGCCTATAGCGTGCCTCGCACATGGTTTACAACATATTTGCTACCTATGGATTACGCAAAGCTTACCTATGCAAACCTAGACATATGTACAGTAGAAAAACAATAAATACATATATATATATATATGTATATGCACATTCTAGATACTACAGATTGATATCTTGATCTTGTATCTATCACATATTTCGTTTACATTGTACATACTGTACACGTATATATATATATATGTATATATATATACATATATATATATATACATAAACTCTAGATATACAGCGTGTATTGCTGTCGATATTCAATATACCACATATACTATGTAAAAATTATTCACGAACATATTTACCTATATTGTATATATTACATCTACTGTGGATACAGTACATGTGGCATATACTATCTATATTCTATCAAAAACCACATATACGATGTATATATATATATATATATATATATATATATCTGTCAAATATATATCTATATATAATATATATATATATAGATTGCATATATTCTATTTATATCTTACATATTATATATATGTTTATATATATATATACACACTACACATACACTCTATATTACATATAGTATATCCATTCTAATTATCGATACATATGCATTATATGCACTATAAAGACTACATACACCATGGCTTGGCTGCTGAGAAAACCCCCCCCCCCCTGCCACAGGGGGGGGAACCATCTGGCTGGGTGGGGGGGGGGTGTGGGGGTCCCTGCTCATATATATATATATATGTATATTAAGCATAGAAGAGCAAGGGCATGCTCCCAAAAAATAAGTGACCCGCTTCAATAAAACTGACACAGATTCTAAAGCACGAGTCCACATCTCAAATAGGTTCGCACATGTTGTCACAGCAAAAGAGTTTGCAAGTTTGCTGACACGACACAAACTCATTTCTCCTGTCAAGCTGTACAAATTCTGCATTCGACGATTCCTACAATAATTGGATTTGCGTCAAAATTCGGGTATGGATCAGCCTGTGGGTTCAGGGTGTGGATCGGGCTGTACATTTTGACTCGCAGCCAATTAGATCAGGTTACAAGATGCGGTGAGTGGATTTTTTCACGAGCGCCTCCGAAAGGATCTCGCTCTGGTATGCCATGAGGCCTGAAGAAAGCATGGTATGATTCGGCATGGTATGGTGATCTGGGTGACAGGTGACTTCCCAAGAGTGCGGGTGAACTTGCCACACCATCCTGTGTGGATCATCAAGGAGTGTTGTGAACTGACACAAATGGGCTGCACTAACAATGGAGCGCGGGATAAGCACAAATGCCTTGTGGAACCGAGTTCGGAAGAGGCCTCACAGTCAGGAGCTCAAGTGAGTGGTGTAAAGTGGTGTGACGGGTCTTCAGAGGGTCAATCGACTTCATTCGATTTCCATCTCTTACGTCTTAGTGGATGTGCTGGGTACCAAAGCATAGCTCCTGGAGTAAAATTTACAGACTGACTGTTTCCTTGAGCAAGTTTCAAGTCTGGACTTTCCAAAGAACATGACAACAGAAGCTGTGCTAACATACATTGATGACTGGTCAGCCTTTGCAGCATCTTCCCACCATGTGCCATTTGTTTTGGCATCACACTAGAATTTTTGAAAGTTCTATGCAAAAATGTTTTACCCTGGAACGCTAGATGTAGAAACTGCCAGCATTTTGCAGGGTTTGCCAGAAGTGCCGCGTACCGGGCCCACTTTCTACAATTATATAGAATATAGATGCAAGCAGGGTGCCAATTGCCAGATCCCAGCGATGCCAGCAAGGCTGGTGCGGTGGTGTTCTGCTCCTCAGCCCACTTTGACGTGTTGCAAAGGCCATGACAGACAATTGGCCACGATTGGCTTCCAATGATTCGTTGCTCCTCATTCTTCACCCCAGACTTATGTGTGTGTGTATGTGTTCGCCTGTAGACCGCAAAAGCATACTCCTAAGATCCCAGCAGGTGTCCAGGGAACTGCTGTGCCCTGTGAGGCAGCCAGCAGAGTCTGCGGCGGCGACAGGCAGAAACTAACTGTTGGAACATGTTGAAACAGCGATGCTCAGTCAGACTCAACCAGATACAGCTAGTAGACTGTGCCAACTACGGTTTCAGGGATTGAAAGTCCACAGAATTCAAGTCCAAATACAGGTGCTGGTCAGAGACTTTTTCAAGGGGATGCGGTTGTTTGTGAGGACAGAGCAAGCCTGTGCAGCTCGGATGTCGTAGAACTCGACAAGGGCATAGCCATGCGAGGCGCTGATATGGGCGACCTCCAGACGAGGAAGCTAGTTCTTGTGCAGCACAAGCAGCCCTCTCAAACACAATGATAGACTAATTTGATGGGCATAGAATCTAGCAATAAAGGCTCACAGCAATGGAAAAATCTGTCCTTCCATGTGAAGCGCTTGCCATGAACTCAACTTGTACTTGTCTAATAAAACATGTACTTAATTTGTCCAGCATTACGCACGTGCGCAAATGTGCACGAAGACAGGAACATCAACAAGTGGATTGTAGTAGAATCTATTGGAAAGGACAGAACTCAATAGGACCAAGTGTCCGTGACAATCCAGTCATGCCACACCTCGCCAAATTGATTGAAACCTCCGCGGACGTGATCGACCTGCACTGGACTGGTGACTTCTCTAGGACCGAGTGACAGCAAAGGATGCGGAGCATTACGGAGCAACGTTTGCAAGAGAAAGATAGAGAAAGTCTGAGCAAGTGTGCCTTCTCAGCGAACGCTGACAAGTCAACACCTTGGTCAAGAAGGTCCAGGAAGGGACAGCAATACTTACGCCAAGGATTTGAAATCGAAGCGGAGCAATAATAGGCAACTTTGTCTGGTGCAATGTGTGAGTTCAATCTGCGGCAAATTGTATTGAAGAACCAGATTTCATCACTCCTTTAAAGAACCAGACTAATCACTTCTCAACATTTCTCAACCATCCATCAATATCATACCCCATAAGGCCAACACGCACTGTACGGATGTCGTGTGCTGCCTGGCATGCATGACGGGTCAAGAATCTCTGGACATCTAAATTTGAAAGACCTCATTGACCTTACTATGAAAATATCGACCAATATGTCATAGGTCTGTAAGCAGTGTCACTGACTTGCTGTATCGGCAAACTATTTCACACTCATTGCTCCGCAAATTTATTTGCTGTACTTACACTTTCAAACTATAGCGTTCAATGGTGAACGCGCAAGAAATGAGCACAGGAAGCAACGTGCAACCGGTTGCTGAACATGCCAAAGCAACCGGTGGAAACGGCTCGCAGCGCCCAAGGCTCGAAAGCATCAAGCGCTGTGCACAACGAACATCAAAGTAGGTTACCAGGACACACCTCAGCGGAAGTTGTTTCCATGTATTTTTTCCTTTGTGGAACAAATCAGAACTTCACTATGTCACTCAATTGTGACAAAAACTGGCTGGGTCTCACAGCGCCATTTTGATCTGTGTAGGTACCATAAGTGAGCCATTAGTGGTGTGCTGCGACATCCGAAAGACAAGACTGGAAAGAGACACATCGAGACACATCAAATAATCTGCACCTCTGTGTGTCCGAATCGCGCCAAGGCCACCACCGTGCAATGACAGCCAAGCTGGTATCCAACCTATCACAAGCTGCACATAGTTTCTAAGCCCACGAAACCATCAAACCTGTCGGGTATGTCATACTTCACGCATCTTACTTAGCATCTTGAAAAGGACAATACAACAAAACCACAACAAAACCAACGTTGGCCCGTGGCTAGTTGTGGGGACATCTACAAACTGGAAACAACCTCTTATGTTTTGCTCCGCTAGTTTGGGTAGTTGCAGAAGTGTTGGGTAAGCACAATGACAAAACCTGCATGTTGGCTTCCAGTTGACAATCAGTGAAATTAGCGCGAATACTTCCATCTCAGCCTGGCAATCTCTCCAAACTCTTGGAGGTCCTGGCAATTAACATCCATTGACCGAACAAGTTGGTTGCTTCGGTTTGACGTTTCGGTGAGGGAGTAGCTATTTCCCTACGGTCCAGAAGTGTGGCCCCCACAGTGGACCTTGTTAAAAAGTTTGCAGGCTCGAAACACTTAACGCACCTAGGCCAGAGTTTCATTCCTACCAAATGTTTTTTCTACCAATTGATTCTTACATTTTTGAAATGCCTTCCGACAACAACCAATGGCTGAGGTTTGGCCAAGTGTGTTTGGTTTATAAAAAATATTTGAATATATATAATTATTATTATTATTATTATGATTATTATTATATATATAATGCAGGCAGGTCAAGAAAGTTCGGCTCCTTCACCGACTTCTCCTGTACTTGTGGCCAGTGGCCATCAGGATCAGAGACGCAGACCTGGACCAAAACAATTTCATACATATCCTAGGCCAGATCCTTTTCGGTCGATTTTTCAATTTCACCCAGCAGGTCAGCGGGAAACATTTCACGGTTTTTTGGACCTTGTTGCTGAACAATTATTGCAGTCCGTTGTAACATTTCCACACATTTGCACGAGCATATTTCATTGTTTCGATGCTGAGTGCGAGGCTGTATTGGAAAGAGTAGAGGTGGAACCTTGATTGTTATGCACAAACACGATGGACGTTTTGCGTCTCAGAAATCATAAGTCAAAAAATCAAGAGAAAATGATGAATAATTGTGTTGATTTTGCAGCAAGAAATGTTGAAAACTAGAATATGAAATAGTCTGACATTCCAACGATGGAGAACCAAAACGTTTGGGTGTCCACACCAGTTTCTGCCAACTGCAACGCAGCTGCTTTCCACCTGTGGCAATGCGTTGCATCACGTTGGGTGAAAACGCAAAAACGAAAAAAATGTGATTTTTGGTCCCAAACAATTTTCATTTATCGTCATTCGTTTCCGAATTTGGTCCCACATGGTCAAGAGTGAAAAATTGTGTGCATTTTCTTCTCTCCCTGAACACAAACGCCACAGTCTCAGCAAAACAAGTGGTTTCTTGGACAGAGGTCAGTACTGGTTTGTGTTCCACATGTCGTGTCGAAGACGTCTGTGATGAGCACTGCAATGTAGCAAGGCCAATAGCTTGGGCCAAAAATTCACCACAAACGAATTTGATTGTTCAACAAATGGTTTTTGGGAATTTGGATTTTAGGTCCGCCAGAAAACCGAATTACCATATATACATCAATTGTTTTTGTTCAAAATGTTACACAACTAATTCAGGTGTTTCGGTGTCGTGGACAAGTTCACTCAAAAAGTTCCGGCATTAGCAAACAGGAAAAAAACAAACATGGCGGCGAAGTCACTCATTTGCAAGATTGTAGGTTGAGAAATACATGTGTTATCTATGTTATGTTTTTTCAACAACGGTTTTGTCAGGATCACCGAACAAAAAGTTGCAAAAACAAACGGAACAACTGTCGCAAATCAGGATGTCCAAACAGGTGTGAATTGAAAATGAACATGTTACTTGCACATTAACGAACACAAATGCTCAAAATCCGCCCGCGCCGAAGGTGCTGGGGCGTGATCTTCCGGATGGCGCTCGTAAAAGGTTGCAGGTTTACCTGGGGGGGGGGGGCATTTTTCGGCCAAAACCTCCTGTTTTTGATAGGTCGTGACGCTCGCCTTCAAAAAACACTGTAAAAAACAGTACGGAAGACACCTGTTCGTGAACGCGCCCGTCCAAAATCGGCAAGCGAAAAGTGAAAAAAACCCGTGTTTTTCAACTTTTTGACCTCAATTTTTTGGTTTGCAACATCTTTTTTTGCGGTTCCGCAGGTGGCCGGGCCCGGAGGCGGATTCTTGAGTTTTTGGACCCGTTTTCGGACTGATTTTCGTCGTTTTTTGATAGCAGAAACACTGGTTTTTACAGTGCTTTTCTGTTTTCTGCATGCTTGACGGCTAGTTTCAAAACTTCCAAAAACCTCGTAAATTACGTTGTTTTATGTTACGGTGTGAATGAAAACATCGTAAATACCAGTGTTTTTTGACGTTGGTTAAAAAAACACTGTAAATTACAGTGTTTTTGGCCACCTGACCTTCAAAAACCATGGTATTTGCAGTGGTTTCTGCTTCTCACCGCGCAAAAACACTGTAAATAACAGCAATTTCGCCGTTTTTTCATGTTTTTCGTTATTTTTTGAACTGCGTTGGTCCGCTATACATGGCTATCAAATTCTTCGCGTTTTTTTTCCGACAATCAGTACTTTCGGATGTTTTTGGTCTCAATGGCCGACATCATTGGCAGTTACGAGCGGCTGCCCAACGATGCGGTGCGGGCGGTTGCCGTCGCGAAGCGACGTGAATATTGTCACACATGCATTGGTCAGTCAAGAAACAAATACAAAAACCAGAACCAAACGGAAATGTCCCAAACTAAATTTAGTGCATTCAAACAACATCAAAAAGGAGACATTCCAATTATATTCCAGCATTATCTTGGCAAGAAAGGGGGCCAAAACAAAATAAACAGCCTCGGATTTACATATATCATAACCCAGTCACAGCATACACAGGCTAACATAGTTTGACACATTTTTTGAAAATACGTTTGTTTCCCCGCATTGTTTTGTCAAAACCGCTGATTCAAAAAAAAATGAAACCAATTTGCCCGGTTTTTTCTACATATTCCAATTTGTTTCTTTGTATGGCTCACGGTCTTTTGTTTCGGCACATAAATCCTCTATGAGAACAAAATGCGTGCCTCATAGTATTGGAAAACAAAGTCTGACCAGCGATGGTGCGGGCAACGTTTTGTCTGCTAAATTACAAACATGTAAACATGTATGAATGCGTCTCGATCAACCGCGTTTCTGGCCATACACCCCTTCCATAGTTCTGGGAAATTTGTTCGCATAGTAACAACAATCAAGGAAACTCAACATTTACGGGCACGAAAACCAACCCAAATATAAAATATAAATCACAATTTACACAAAATTGCATCAATTATGTTTTTCCAATTCTGAAAAAAAAACAACCGAATTCATGTTTTTTTTTAATGTGTTTCCGCAATTATTTGTACAATGCATGAATCTAAATGTGCGTTCCTGCGAATGCTGTATTTTTATATTTTTTGTATCACAGGTTTAATGGCTGACACGTTTCCCAGTGGGTTTTTGGAGTCGCACTACGCAACCCACTTCAGTGAAATTATTGAAAAAAACATGAAAAACCAACGATGCACCGTAAAACCGCACAGCGTCATGGTGAGTCATAGTGGCTGAAGGGACCCCAAAAAATTTTAACCTTTTCTTTGTGTACGACATGGAGGCCACTTACGGATACACGTGGGATCACATAGGTATGTGACGCAGTATGGGGGAAGAGCCGGGATCACCAACAATTTGAATAAATTGGGGCCACAAGAGCAGTTGCCTGCCTTTGCAGTTGCTCTAGATTCTAGATGTCTATGACATGGATGGGGACACTGTTGCCGGCCACAGTCCAAGCACATTCGCAAGTTTCATTTGATTTACAAATTCCACTGCGGTCCATAGACTGGGATGGAAAACAACGGCACGGCACCTGGTTGTGAAAAAAAACACTTTGGCGAATCATGACCCGCAAGAATTGGTTTACCGGAAAATAACCAGAAAAAACAATTTCACGCAGCCTGACGCAAGAAACAGTTCCCCATTTGAATCTGTGAGCGGGAGCGCACTTTTCTCGAACCTTAAAGGCCTCACGATACGTACATGGGTTTTCCATGCAACTGCATTGAAACTTGTTACATTTCTCACATGATTTGTGCATGTCATCCTGGCATGAACTGCAATCAAAAATGATTTGCACTCCTCCTCGACACTGTGTAGACTTTTGACTCTCAGTGTCGCCTGACATTTTTGGTAAAATTCCAGCGCACACCCAGCCATATTTTGCTGGATGTTCACCACAAAAATTCCATTGAGTTCTCATGCATCTCCTCGAAAGTGTGCACACCTACGTCCGTAGTAGAGACTGCTTTGCAATCTGTTCTGACTTCTGGCTGTCTCTGACATTTGGAAAAACAGATCCACAATCCTTCTGTTGTAGTTTTCCACCATCTCATTCGTTACTCCATTTCTGATATCATTCAACATCTGCATCATCATGTGTTGAATTCTCACTGCATCGTTTGGCTCGTTTCTTTGTTGAGCCAGTCTGAACTCTATTTTCAATTCCTCCATCAAGTCTGTCATGCTGGGATCTTGTAGAGGTCTTGCTGCTGTCACTTCGTCATCTGTTGCATTTTCACTCTCTGCTGTCTCTTCTGTATTTTGGTTTCCACTCATCTGCACATCTGTTGTTTCTCCACCTTCCACATACGCACGTTGTCTC